GCAGAAGACGACGAGTGACAAGAGAATGTGACCAAATAACGAAAGGAATGGAAAGAATAAGCGCATATTGTGTGTCTTCAGTGGCATTGTGAATGTGTAATCATCATCATCGTCGTCGTCGTCATCATCATGGTGCTTCTTGACGGCACAAGTGAGCGTCCTCTTGTTTCTCCGCATAATCTATGCTCTTTAACATACTAGTTGTTCCAATTTTCCGACACAAAACGCTCATCGCTTTTGATTCACCTCGTGTCTGGCCCCTTTTTGTACTGCCACTTTATGGTGGCAGCAGAAGAAAATCTCGCTGTAAAGACGAAAATTTACATGAATAAATTCAACCACACGAAATTTGATCGCATTGAAAATTCGTTGGGATACACATTACGCTATTTACATGCAAATTTCCACCATGCTCTGTCGCTCGCTATCGCTTCTCATTCTCCGTTGTATTGTGTCTTGTGTTTACTGTGCTCTCCAATCATCGCAAATTTATTGTCGATAGTTTTCTATGCGCTTGCATACACATCGTCCAAGATCACATCTATTTATTATATGATAATTGAACCCGTGAGCATAAAAACGACTTATTAAACAATCGCTGAACAAAACGATACAAGAAAAAACTACCAAACAAAACACACGTTAAAAACGTAACACAGCAGGACGGTACCGTTCAAAACGAAACTCCGCTGTGCTACACATTACCGCTGTGGTACGTTTTGTTCGGTAGTTTTTTCTTGTATCGTTTTGTTCGGCGATTGTTTAATAAGTCGTTTTTATGCTCACGGGTTCAATTACGGTAGCACTTGAATGGCAAGTGCGGAGAAAAATTGGTCTACATAAAACAAGTCATTTATTCAAGCGTCGCACAAACAACAAACCCAAATATAGACTTGTTATGCAGTTTTCTATTTTTTTGTACCGAAATTTGTATTCCAATAACATTTTAAAATTTTTGGTAATGATCGATACGTAAATATTTTATTATTTTTAAAGTGTTGATTTTTCCTATTTAGTTCACATAAAAAGGCACACACACAGGGGAGAATATTTGAGATTTTTGGCACAAAATAATCCAAAATTAAAATATCTAAGACAAAATTTATTTTCCTCCATGCGATTTTTTTCTAAAAAAAAAATTAATTTTGTCTTAGATATTTTAATTTGATCATCATACTGCAGCCAAAGCTGTTCGTATTGACCGGTTAGATTTCGCCAGATCACATCTGTTTACTTACGATAGCTCTTGAATAGCAAGTGACATTTGTTCAAGCTTCACACATAAAATCAATTCATTCAACTCGATTTTTAATTTGTTCTCCAGGCGATACATTATATTTTCCACTATACAAACCTTGAGCGACACTTGAATTTTAGACAATAAAGAACATCTTTGGGATTTTTGTGCCGATTTTGATTGCTAATTGTTGGAGCATTTAGATTATCACAGCCAAGACGTTGATATAAAAATTCAGTAATTCTTCTAAATGGATACAAGACATCGCCACCACCATCAGAACCAAGATTTCTAAATCAGAAGTTCTAATGCATGCTGTATCACCTGGCATCCGGAAAGCTGACAAAACATAGAAAGATTCAGAAAAAAACATAGAAAATGAACAACTCTTAACTCAAGAGAACATGAAGTCAATTTTCGTTACATATCGAAAAAAGCCCAACGAAATACCAAACCAATGCATATGGATAGTGGATTTTGTATCCATGTCAATGAAATGAAACACAATTGCTGTTTTACTTTTTTCCACCATACAAGGCATATCATTTTTTGTGTCTGCTGTTGCAAAATACATAAAAGTTTTTAACTTAAAATCGAAAATTCGGGCTAAAATATGTTTAAATCAAATTCAGTTATTTAAAAAATAATAATAATAATAATAATAATAATAATATAATAATAATAATAATAAAATTACTAAATATTGTTATAAATTTAATAGACAATAATGTTAAAAAATGAATTGAGCGTAAAAGTGTGTATGTATGTGTGCAGATTTAAATTTAACGCTTCGATCGTGTCATTATCGCTTCATTTGCATGAAATTCACCCGAAAAATAAAACGTTCACACACAGAGACACACGGAACGCATGCAATTCATCAGCAATTTATTCTTTTCATCGTGTGTGTGTATTTGCGATTGCAATATAGTGTAAAGAAAAAATCCATTTTCCTGCTCATCATTTTGATTGTTTGACTGCATTGCAATGTTCACAGTGTTTCGTACATAGATCTCTTACTCAATTCGATAAATATCTGTATGTACACTTTTGTTTTATTTATGTGAAATTAAAGAAGAAAAAAACAAACAAACGAAAGAATCTTCTTGAATATAACACAAAACATGAAATTAAGCGAATTTTGATTTGTTCTGAAACGAAGATTTGTTTGTAATTTGTGTCACACACAACGTTCAGCTACAGTTAGGCACATCATGGTGAATATATTTTGTTGTGGTTGTTGTTTGTCGCAGAATTTGGTTCACTCTCTGAGTTCCATCACATGGAATGATACGTGTGACGGCATATTTTCACCGAGCACTTGCTATATATAGAGCGAACGTTTCCGAATATTAGAAACCACACGTTATTACATGTAGGAACGAAGTTCCGTGTAAAAATATGCCGTCACACGTATCATTCCATGTGATGGAACTCAGAGAGCAGTGTTTTGAAAAAAGAAATAATTTATTTTCTCTATATGCCGGTTAGGCATAATGTGCGACCACCGTAGTGTTGCTTCACTACTAATTTCGATTGAAACTTTCCTTCCACTGTCGTGAGACACACAAATGCCGGTCCACCGATGCTCTGCAAGGCGAACGAATACATTGTATATACCATTGAAGTGGGTATATATGCTCAACCACGTACAGAAGTTGTTGTAGCGAATTATAAGGCTTGAACGTGGATGAAAAACTCACTTCTCACTTTAGAGCGATGAGATTAGTAATGAATATTAGATATTTATTGAAATGAGCGTAGGAATTTTTTTTTTCTCCATCAAAATTCATATCAATAAATAAGAGATGGGAAAAAAGAGTTTCAAGTGAAAAAGTGAGAAAAAAAACGAAATTTTATTCGTTAGTTTCGAAGCAAAATATTCGTTGACCAATAAATGTTCACAATGTTCTCAATATGAATTTTCGACTTCTTCGTTCATTCTGGATGCCAACAATTACTTTAATTACACAAATACAAATGTATATACATAAATCGTATCAATTGTTAAGCACCACTTGGTCGAGATAATGTGTTCAGGTGTTCATTTAAACCTTTAGTATCGTCTCCGATTTGCTGTTGAAGTGTTTCGATTTTCGATTTATCTAACTAGAAGGACACTTAAATTATATTCACTTCACAATCATTTTTTAATTGAATTTATACTTCGTTTTTTGTTTACTATTTCGAATTGTATGTTTTGTGTATGTGTTTGTGCGACTGTGCGTGCGTGTATTTTGAGCGAGCCGGAGGCGCCGCTCTTGTTTGCTATATCTTTCATTTGTGAACCGAATAAATATTTGTTGATTGTTTGTTTTTCTTTCTTTTTTTTTTTCTTTCATTGTAAACATAACATAAAAATTTTGGTACTAATGTGGGTGTGAGAATGTGTTGCGCGAAATCAACATCGATTTGCACTCAAATTCGAAATGAATTTTGTAAATGTTTTACACCATTCATTGCATTTTAATTTGATTAGTTTGTTTTTTAGCTTATTTTGTTTGCTTTTGAAGAAAATCGTATTTTAAGCCGAATTTTTTGTTTGTGTTCAAAAATTATCGATTATTATTGAGAAAACAATAGTTGAACCAAATAAAAGGGATTACTAAATTTAATCTACTGTATGAAGATGTGTATGGGTGTGGGTGTGGGTGTTCCAGCCGGCTGGAATTTTATTTGTCAATTGAACAATTGAGAGTGCTTTATGAGTGTTTGTGTGTATGTGCGTGAGTTGCTTTGTTTCGTTTTTCTATATAAGACGGGGTTGGTGTGCATTTGTGTCTATCCCAAAAAAAATCCGCTATTGTTTTGTTTTTTCCATTGCATCTGAACCGGTTATTGTCTCCCATAATCTAATTGCTATGTATTTGGCTCGTTTCGACAAACAGAAAAAAAGAAATGTGTAAAAATCGTATCACTTTTGAAAATTTTGCATTAGAGAAAAGAATTCCGTTTTTGTTCACCGGCCAGTCAATCAATTTAGCGACTTTTTACTGCGTTTTTTTTCTATTGATTATCCTCATTTCCTTTTTTTTCTTCTTTTTTTTAAATAAGGGGACGTATGTGATATTTGTGTGTTTGTTTTCTTTGAATTAATTGGCCAGAAAACGCGAGATAAATCACCATTATGTCACATGTATTCAATTCGTGGGAAGTGTGTTTATTCGATTTACCTCGCTTTTATTGTTGCCATTGTTGTTCTTGTATATTGTATCGCCTTAATTTGTAATGAACTGAATTGGTTAAAGCTAATTTGGCGAAACCAGAGATTTTTTTTTTACTTCGTTATAATCATTATTAACACTAGGTTTTGTGAGCTCTCGTAATTGCTGTCTATTTTTTGTGTGTTTTGTTGTTTTTTTTTCTTGTTCTTTCCTATTTTTTGCGCTAAAATTACTAACTGAAGTAGAATATACACAATAACATAATCAATTATTTATATAAATAGTTTTATATGATAAATCGCACATTGAAGACACACTGTGTAGCTATTCTTCCTCTTTCTCTCTCTTTCTCTCTCTCTCTCTCTCTCTCTCTCTCTTCAACTTCTTCTTTTTTCTTCATTAAAATTTAAAAATTATCTATCAAAAACCTTAAACTGTATTTGTATTGATTCTTCACTTTCTTCCTCTCTATCATCAATTTTTACTTGATTCATTTGCATTTTCTAACTAGAATATCGGTCGCAAGCGTCCATGCATTATCATGTGCATTTGATGTCGTTCATTGAATTTGCCATAAAGAAAAAAATTGATTCAGTATATTTGTCTCGTATATATGCAAAGTTTATTCAATACAGTTCGACCATATGTGAATTTCGTTTTTTTTATGTTTGTTTATATTTCTGAATATTTTGGCGCACTGAACAATTGGCCGCAAGCATTTCAAATGAATCTGTTCGTTCGTACGTACGTTGCATCAAATAATTCACGGTGCCAAGAAATTCGACACATTTCCACGTGTTACATGATACATATATAAAATTGAAGGTGAAACGAGAGAAACACGTTTCATCGAGAGTTAACATTTCATGTGTGGCTTGGATTTTCTTTTGTTATTCTAAAAAAATTGTTTTCATTTTCTCTGTTCGCGAGAACGAATTCTCGCTCATCATTCTTTTCTTCAGTTTTAATGTTAAGCACCGACATTTTTTTCCGTTCAATTTTCAGAGGTTGAGGAGAGGTTTATTGGCGCAAAAACTGTCCGTTTCTTGTTTCAATTTTGAGTATTTGTCTTTTTGAAAGTTCTCAACGTATTGCTTTGTTCAAACAGTTCAACGATTTATCGCATTTGTTTGTGTGTTTTGTTTTCGTTTCATTCGTTAATTTGATTTGAATTTCCATCGTTTTTGATGGAACAAAAAAAAACCAATCAAACATACACGGGACCATCTTGATCGGTGCATTCTTGGTTGCTTTTATCATCGGTGAAAAAGCGACGATATGTAAAACCATAGAAACCATGAAATGAAATCGCCGTATTATTGCTGAATGCATCGAATTGATCGGAGTTTTGAATGCGTTCCGGATCGACTTCGTCAAAGTTTGATGTATCGGTTGGATGCTCGATTTTCGGTATGTATGGTGCTTTCTGTTGACGCAGATCGGTGCCAAAATTTATGCCACGGAAGAATCCATGCGCTTTCACTTCATCGGCATTTTTGCCCAGACGACGATCGGACGAAGAGCATAAACGTAAAATCAAATCAGAAGCTTCGGGCGATAGTTTGGACTCGGGTGGTATGTGCAGTGATTGCTCCCAATTAATGACCTGCAATTGAATCAATGAATATATATGATGTGAATGGAATTGAAATGACGATTTGCTTGTGATCGACAATTAGTAGGAATGTATATGATCACACTGGATTCGATTGAATTACCTTTTGTTGAGTTTCGACCGCTGTATTGGCTAGGAACGGCGGTTGACCAACCAGCATTTCATACAGAATCACACCGACACTCCACCAATCGCACAGCTGTGTATAGCCACTGCGTGCCAATACCTCGGGCGCAATGTAATTTGGTGTGCCAACGAGTGAATGCGCCAGGCATCGTTGATGTTCGCGTTGACGGCGTCGCTCCAAAACGGCCGGTTTTATGCCATCATTTGCATCATCCCATGGTTCCATTGAATCTTGTCGCGCGTGTTCGCCTATAGGAATGTCACAAATTGAGTACACACACACCACATAGCAATAAAGGAGTGTTCGACAAACGAAAGTAAAGAATACTCACCAGCTTTTTGATAATATTTTGAATCGTGTGTCCAACGGAAACCCGTACACAACCCGAAATCGGTGAGCTTGATGTGACCATCTCGATCGATTAGAATATTGTCCGGTTTGATGTCGCGATGGATGAAGCCCATTTTATGAACACTTTCCACGGCCACCGTCAATTCGGCGATATAAAACTTGGCCAGCGGTTCATTGAATATGCCGAATTTAATGAGCAGCGACATCAGATCACCGCCAGGGATATAATCCATCACGAAATACAAATTGTCACGATCTTGAAAACTATAATACAATTTGACGACCCATTCATTATCGGCTTCGGCCAAAATATCGCGTTCGGCTTTCACATGCGCCACTTGGTTGCGCTTCAGCACATCGGCCTTTTTCAGCGTTTTCATGGCATAATACAAATTTGGCGTATCAATTTTCTGCACCAGTGCCACCTCACCGAATGCACCCACACCGATCGTTTTGATCTTGGTGAACATGGACTTTTCCATTTTCGCCCGCTTCAATCGTATGTAATTCGATTCCTTTTGATTTAGCATTCGGCGCATTTGAATTTGTGCCTCTTCCGACAAATTGATACGGCCCATCTCTTTTTCCAGCTGATTCTTTCGGAACATTCGTTGCTTGCATGACTTGAGCACATTTTCAACGTGTTGCTCCATAAAGAATTTAAAGGCTTGCGGTGAATAGTGCTTGATTCGGCCTTCCTTCACTTCTTCTTGATCTTTTGAGACTAGTTTTCGTTCGGGAATTGGCGATTCATGCTTAATCTTTTCACATCCTTCCGTAGATGAGTTTTTACTATTTTTGGCGGCGACTGATGTGGATGATGGCGGTGGAGCTGCCGGTTGTTTATTCAATTTCTTGGCGGTTGTCGTTGACATCGCACTATTCGCCATGGTCGTTTTCGTATTGTTGTTTTTATTACTTTTTACGGACGACGACGATGTGGGCGGCAATGGCGGGGTTATTGATAAATTGTTATTGTTTATTATTTCCGGCGAACTTGACATATCACGATTATTGTTGCTATATGGCGGCGGTGGGAGTAACGCTGCGAAATAGATTCAAACGAAAATTCATATTCACATATCAACAGTTTTTTTTACGATGGGGATGAAAGTGAATTATGATTTTAAAATGCCACACAATTCGCCAGGAATATGCTACGAAAAATGTTGGACTTTAGGTTGTCTTTTTTTTACATACCCATGTGATTTTTGGCAGCTTTGTATGCCATTGTGCTCGCATACGATGGCGGTTCGCTAACAGGCACAATATTATTTGCTGGTGACGTTTGATGCACTGCATTTATCTGCAACAACAACAACAACAACAACAACAACAACAAAGATTAATCAAAAGTTGAACAGTGATTTTTCTTTTGTGAATGGTAAACAAAGCATAAAATTTTCTTCATGTTTGCTTTTAAGCAAACTTTAGCGACACACTTTACGCTTACCGATGGCGTTTTCTGATTGATTTTCGGTGCTATGTCTGGCGGTATGGAATTCAATACTGGCGGCGTTGTTGGCGGTGTATTATTTTGAAGTTTCGAGTTCGTTGTCACGCTATTTGTTATATGAGGTTGAATGGACGATGCGTACGATGGCAATGCGGTCGTCGTCGATGGTGTGCTAAAACGGAAAACAAATTGATGTGAATTGTTCAACAAATTTTTGGATTTGTCATAAAAATGCGGTTGGATTGCATTGTGCTTACAGTGTAGTTGGGACTTGAGGTGCAATGGCTGTTTGAAGGATTGGTTTTTGCACTTGTGTCGATTTAACGGACTGCATGATGATTGGTGAATGTGTTTTGCGTTGCCATGAACCGATTTGGCACACATTCGTTGATCTAGATATCGGATGAGGCGACATTGAATTTGATGGCGGCACTGGACTTGGCGATCCAGCTGACGTTGCTGAATAGATTCCCGATGACGGTGACTTGCGATAATCTATCAATTGGAAAAAATTTGATCCAAAACAATGCAATTAATTGACTGAACCGAATCGGGTGCTATGAAAATAATCGAAACTCGAATGACGAATAAGTTACACGCCCTTACCATCTGTTGTACTAGTTGGACTTTGTCGATTTTGAATCGAGGGTGAATAGTTTGTGACACCTGTTGCTATGATTGGATACGGTGGCGGCGGTTCATTGCTATTTTGATCCTGTTGATCGGATGCGGGTGAAAAGCGCCACGACAGCGGATTATCGACCGAACTGTGAGGTTTACGGGGCATCTTCATCATATGACATTTGTCAGTTCCATTTTGCGGCACGACTGGCGATGTACCACGGGCTGGAATTACTGTGACAAAAGAGATAAGAAGAACAAACATTGTTGGTTAATACTTTCAAAAAAATATCTGCGAATCCAGTTGAGCGAGAGAGAGAGAAAATGGTGCAATCAATAAATTCTACCTGGTAATCGCTGATTGCTGCACTGCTGTAGTGGCACATGTTTACCAAATTCGATTGGTTTACAAAATTCTATTGGTTTGCAGTATTCGATTTGCTTGCAGTATTCAATGGGTTTGGCGTCGTAAATTGTTGCTGAATCAGTTGTTGAATTTGATCGTGAACTACCGGCTCCAGAATCAAGCGCTGGACTACCGCGTGGAAATTGCGGTATTTCACGTTCGATGCTCGGCTTTCGAAACAATTTTGGTGGTTGAGCTGGAGCTGAAACTGAGAGAAAAAGCGAAATTAAACACATTTTATGGGAAGAAGACACACAATTTTTCGATCGAAACCAAGCCCAATGGAAACAGTGTCAAAACTCTTTCGTTGACTCATGCCCAATATAGGTTCATTTGTTTGCCTACCTGGTAATCGTTGCTGGCATTGCTGTAGTTGCACTTGTTTATTATTTTCTAAAACATCACTGCGACCATTTTTAATCAAAGTGATTGCTTGTTCTTCCGTAAAGCCGGAGCTCATTAATTGTGCTAGTAAGAGGTTTAGGTCGCATTCGACTTTGGGAAGCGATGGGATTTGTTGGCCGTTTGTAGCATTTGATGCATTTTGCACATCGCTGATAGAAAACATGCGTAATTCCTTGCGTATGGTTTCCAAGGCATTTGTCGCATATTCCGAGAGCCTTGGTGTAGACGGCGTTTTTCCGCCTGTTTGATTCATTGTTAGTGTTTCGGTTTGTCATATCACAAACGCGATATCTCGAATTTAGATTCGCCGATGCTAAAAATGCTACATGCATTCGAAATATGCCCAATCGACGAAAGTGGCGAAAAGTTGTGGATTGATTCCGTTGTTTCGATACAAGATGGGCGGGGTGAACGCTGGAGGAGCACCTTCCGTCTTCTATGTTTTGTTCTCTTTTTCCTGTTTATTCGATTGCTTTGCTCTCTGTCTGTCGTTGTTGCTGTATATTGTTAGCGCCAATTTTTGCCGTTCCACTATTTCTTCCACATTGAACACATTCCAAACGGCAAACAATTGATGCATTCGGTCGAATGAGTAAACACATTTATTACATTTGACTTCGAGCCTTTGTAAATAATTATCGCAATATTGAACACTTTTAGCGGCATATAAGCTCACAATGCATACGAAATCCGAAGAAAAAACAACAAATTCGACAAGAAACTTGACGGTTGTTATCAAAAGAGAGGCAAGGCACTTTTCGGTGTTGTCGACTTTTTATCTCTCTCTCTCTTTCTCACTTCAATTTATTCAGAATGTCATTTTTGAAGGCACAATTCTTTAAGGCACTAAATTTGTTGTCATCATTTTGTTTTTGCTATAATTTTTGTTGCTATTTTTTTGCACACTACGACTGCAAATCTAATTTATTCCTAATGAGAATTGCATTGATCGATCGACCGATCGTAAAAATGTCTGTCACTTTTTATCTAATGGAAACAATGTGACGTCGATCGTCTCGCATGCCAATTCGAAGGAATTATGGAATACATTGAATAGTTCACGTTCGTTTTCGTTTTCTCTCTCTCTCTCTCTCTCTCCCTCTGTATTTCTCACTCTATTTGCACATTAAATTACTAAACGATTACTGCAACATACACATGCACAAAGGGGATCACAATTAAGATGGGTTATTTTCATTTTGCATCGATTAAAACGATTTGTTGTCTATTCGGAATTAATCCAAATCATAGTATTCCCATTTCGATTACACCTCTGCGATGAATTTTCTCAATCGTTTCGTTTTTGTTCCTTCGTTTTCATTTACTTTGGTGTCGTATGTTGAGCGGTACTGTTTGGTGATTTGACGTATATATTAGTAGATATGTAATTTTTTTTTCTCTGTCTCTTTCTTTCGTCTTATAGCTCGGCTTCTCAGCTCTTTGTCTACAAACACCAGAAATTGGAAGAAGAAGAAAGAAAAAAAAAACAAATCGTAATGGAATTTTGTGCACATATCAGAAATGAAACGGGGAAAAAAATGAATGAAGCATGCAAAAAAGAAATATAAAATGAATATTCGCTTAAAATATTTAAATGTTTCAACTATTTATCTGTTTCACATCGCACAAATATTTCGTGTACGCGTACATGTCGCAACCGTATAGAATACATACACGCACCAAACTGAACGAGAGGCGAAGAAAAAAAAATGTACACTCATAAACTGAGTGTGTTGCTGCTGCCTATGTTTCACCCGTTCGATGATATTATCCAAACGAAGGAGAAAAAAAGAATTGCCTTTGCATTCGATGCAATTTACATTTATAAAAATAACAGAAGGAGAACGAACGAGTGAAAAAAAATGAGAAACGGAAAATCATTCATCTGTCCTTCTTTGTCTAAAATTGCAAATTTTTTTTGGATTATTTTCACTACTTTTCGGCTCAGTTTTTAAAGCTCATCCAATTATTTTAACTCTTCTTCTGTTCTGAAGTTTTGTTTTCGGCATATTTCCGATATTCAAATGGAAACTAAGGATGTTTTCATTGTTAGTTGTCCATTTTTTGCATCGATCAATTTGTTATTTCTCTCATAGATCAGGTGAATGCAGGAGAAAAAAAAATTATGCGATGTGCACGTAATTTTCTCTCAATTCCTGAACACATTCATCAATTGAAAATATTTTTTTTCTTCGTTGTTTATATTTGTGTGTTTCTCTCTCACTCTTAGGTTTTCGTTTTAAATAATATTCATCGTCGAAACGCGAGCAGATGTATGTGAGTGTACATATGTTGATTTTTCTCTCTCTCTCTCTCTCTATATTCATATTGTCAATATACTAGCACTAGTAGAATATAATATCTCCTTTGTTGCTACTACTAATGTTGTTTTTGTTGTTGTTGTTGTGTGTTTTTTTTTCTCTGTCGCTTCTCTTCTCTCCGTCTTTCTACATATATTTCACACTGTTGGTGTTGCTGTTGCTGCTGCCATTGATTCGATCCGTTCATGAAAATCAAGAACCGATTCAACATTCCAATGCATAAATTCAATGGTCAATGTATTGTGTATACGTGCATCACTAGCGCATCGATGTGGTTGTGATTTTGTAGCGTGTGTATGCAATGTATATACATATGCGAACAATTCCGAGCGATTGTATATGTGAACAGAAATTTTTTTTTTCTTCTTTCGATCCGAATAGCTGTGCGCTCGAATGGTTGATTATAAATTCTTCACTAAAAATTTCCCTCTTTCTTCGGTTCGAAGAATTTCGACAAATCTATCAGCGAGAGAGCGCAGTGTTTTTGGGCTGCCCGAAAATGTTCAAATGTTTGCATTTCAATTGCGATGGATATGACTATTATTCGATAGATCGACAGATATATAATCTATATGTATATATGCAATCGAATTCGATTCAATTTATGATATTATTTATAAATATAATGGACACACAGAACAGGGAGAACATTTGTTTAGCTGCAGTTCGAATCCAAAGTCATTTAGATGGGAGAGAAAAATAAAAATTGATCATTCTTTTCGTCTCTCTGCGATCGAAGATATATGCTTGTACCATTCTTCACAATATATAAACACACTAAACATCCAAGGCAATTCGAATTATTATGATCACCATTCATTTCGATCGCACACAGATTTCACAACAATTTTTTTTTTTCGCTTCAAGTTTTTATTTTCGTCGATTTTTGCACACACATACGACACATTGCTTCATTTTGCCATTTTTATCGTAATCATTTGACAATCGAATTTGAATTTTCCATTGCACAAACTCACCATTTATCAGAAAATAATTTTAAACTCTTTTTTTTCGAAATATATATATATATATATATATTCATATGCTGACTTTACTGTCACTATATTGTTAAAATGTCGACACCTTCTCATTTCAGCAACTTGTGCTCTGTTCCTCAATTCTGTCCGTGTGTGTGTGTGTACGTTCCAATGTAAGTATATCGTGGAGATGAGTGGTTGTGATTGTGTGAGTGCATTCAAATTGGTTGCTTGGCTTAGTATACGATTGGGCCAGTTTGTATGAATATCAGTGACAGTGAATGTGTGTGAGTGGTACGAATACGAAGCGAATCGAGTTATGCACACGCACATACATACGCATAGCGCGACATAATGTAATAATCATTCTGTCAAAATATAGTTGAGTACGAACGTCAAGACTATCACATTACCATTTAAATTTCGTACTTAAAACGGCGCCGAATGCAAATTTTAGTTTTAGAATGCCTGTATCAAATATAGTGTGTGATAATTTCCCTGGTTTTTCGTTGAATATTGTCCATAAATTGGATTTGATTGATGTTTATTCAAAATCAATTGAAATTTAGCGCATTCCCAATGCAGCAAATATTTTTCGATGAGAATCCACTTTCAAATCTAAAGTACATACTTATTGCCGACCATTTGAAATGTTTTAAATTCGAAATTATTGTTCACGACCCCCATCCAATATACTATGACAATAATCAATAAGTATATCTTCAAAAATTTCAAAATAGTTTCGCGTGGAAATTGAAGTGAAAAAGTGACAAAACATTTCAATCACAATGGGCTTCAATGAAACTGGTCCGATGGCACCATGATATTTGAATTGAACACGTTTGGTATCGTGACTGTGTTCACGAACGATTGACAAGCATGACATTCCACTGGCTTCACCAACAAGCGGTTCACAAGCGGTTTTGCCACACTCCGACCCGATAGACCACTGTAACAGCACTTTGAATGCTGCCCTTTAATTTAAACCAATTCGTTTTCAATTGGATTCGACATGATGGCCACTTCAATTTGACTTTTCATGAAAATCGACTCATTTAATCTCGTTGGGAAATTAAAACCAATTGCAAATATTTTTTCTCTCGAGCAGTAATTTATTGAGGCAAAGCACGCCTATGTCATGTAACTCGCGCTCTCTCTCTCTCTCCCTCTCCGTTAGAACAATAATTTTTTTTCGTTTGCAATTTAAAACCGTAACTCTGGACTTGTGTGTGCAGAAGAAACGAAGAGAAACAACCAGCGAAACGAAACGAAACGAAAGAAACACGGTTTGTGTATTTGTGTTTGTGTATGCGTGTATGCCTTGCCATTTCCAAAGCCTTTGCTTCGTTTCCCTCGTTTTTTTTGTGTGTCTCTTCGGTTGGTTCATTCGCTTCTCTCTCGGTGCTGTGTGTGTCTCGTTTCATAGTTTTGGTTTCGTGTATGGGAATCACGAATCGGTTTCATTGCTCTTACACACAGAAAGAGGGAGACAGAGTTTGCCGTTGCCGACAACGTTGTGATGTATGTGGATCTCCGCGCGCGCCTTTTGGTATGTGTGCGATTTTTTTTTCCATTTCGCTACCCAGTCACTAAATAGTGATTCTTCTTTTTCTTATTCACTTTTTGCCCATCTTTTTCGTAATCGTCACAATCGGCTTGTAACAAGCAGGCATGTTAAAAGTTGTACGACTGAAATTGTGCATGGCGGACATAAACTAAGAGCGACAAAAGTAATTCAAAACGCAAGAAAATTCGAAGCAAACGACAAAGAAAAAAAGAACACACATAACGAGAGAGAAACGAAAAACAAAAGAAAAAAAATTCAATGGAAACGTAGTGTAAAAATCGCTAAAATTTGCTATCAAATGAGTGTGTGTGTGAGAGTGCGAGAGATTGAGTGTGAATATTTTTTTTTTCTTCTTCAATTCGATTCAAAAAGTGTTCAATTGATTTCGTCGCATTGCGATTTCCCTCAACAACAACAACAACAAAAAAACGAGAATTTGCCGATAAATTTTCGCCGACTATTGAATTTAACACGCAAAGAGAAAACCACTGGAATAAAAGAAAACATTAAATAATCAATAATAGAATATTTGTAATGTGACACGAGGCATCGGACACTTAAAATGAAAAAACGAAACTAAATAGAGAGAAAGAGAGATTAAAAAAAACCGACTGTTGAATCGAATACACATTTTTTTTCGCTTAAAAAGACCGATTTTCCGAAACGCCGTAAGATACAGAGCTATCGTGGATGTAGTGGATACACAGATATACAGAGAGAACGAGTGTTTTGTGTATGGTTCATTTGCAAATGCACAAAAAAGAACGAAACAATTGTGGCGCCGAAAAAAAAAGTATAAATCCAGTAATACCGAATACGTAAAGCAAGCAAGCAAACTTAACAAGAAAAAAAACGTAAACGCCAAGCAACAGAACACAAGCATACATTCCATTTCGATCGATTCGCATTTGAATTCGGTGTGCTTTATAAGAAAGTGAAACAGCAACAGCAACAACGTCCGAACAAGAAATAAAAAAAAACACTTATCCCGGTGTTTGACGAGCGCGAGCATAAACAAATCGATAAATTGTGTGCATTTTTTTTCCGGCGTTTCATTTGCCTCTCCTAATATTCCTGTGTGTGGTCGCCCGTGTGTGTTGTGCTTAGCCGCTTCAAACACAGAAATATCGACGAAATTTGAATAATTTATTACATTTCAATTGCATGTAGCCGAAAACGGTTTACAAATCGCTGTTGTTGTTATAGATTTTTGTTTCTTCTGTTCTCGTTTTCTGTTCTGTGTGCGAAAGAAGAAGAAGACGAAATTATCCACGAATTTATTTCTCTCTGTTTTTTTCCCGCTCAAGTATTAACAGCATTTATACGACACAATGGGTGCATACTTATCAGCACCGCTCACTGAAAAAGAGTCCACCGATGAGGCCAACGACTATTTAGCATGTGGCGCGAGCCAAATGCAGGGCTGGCGCATGTCCCAAGAGGTAAGTGTTACAAATAAATGGTTTAACTTACATGCACATACATATCAAATGGCATATTGGCACATCCGAATGAATAAAAATCCACCGGAACAAGAGGGTTTCGTGTGCTGTAACCACGTTGTGCCGCTTGCAATAGCATGTGCACTTTTCACGGTGCGTACACTCCGATAAACTTGAACGAAACACACCGGTCAACCGTTCTTTTTTTCGCACTTCAATCATTTTTGAAGGTTCTGATTTTTCTTCTTCTTCTTCTTCATCTTCTTCTTCTTGTTGTTATTCAATCACGTTTGGATGTGCCGCTATACCACGTGCACTTTTCGTAGACACCATTCATTTCTCTCTCCTTCTCTCTCTCTCTCTGTGTGTTTCCTTCTCCTTCTCCGCTTCTCTCGTTTATTACCGCTTTTGTTGACACATGATGCTCACTGTTCTGTTCTGTTTTTTTTTGTTGGTATTTTTGCAGGATGCTCACATTTGTGCATTGAATTTTGACATAAACACATCACTGTTTGCCGTGTTCGATGGTCATGGCGGATCGGAGGTTGCATTGTATTGTTCACAAAAGTTGCCGGAATTTTTGAAAAATGTCAACGCATACAAAAAGGGTGAATTTGAACAGGCGCTCAAGGATGCATTCATTGGTTTTGATGCGACACTAGTCAATGATGATGTTATAGAAGAATTGAAAAAACTCATACCCGATGACAAAGTCGACGAAACCGATACGGACGAAGAGGCCGACGAAGATGAAGAAAATATTCATGAACTGTGTAACGAGGGCCGGATGCCGTTGAATGAATTGTTGGAAAAATTGAAGGATCCACAGATGGCAAAAATTAAAGCCGGTGAATCGTCAGGCACATCGAAACCTTTGTCACCATTTTTACGCGGCAGACGAAACGGTAGCAGTAGCAGCAGTGGCAGTGGAAGTGTCAGGGGCAGTGGCAGTGGTAGTGGTAGTGCGACCGTTGAAAACGGTGAATGCTCTTCGGCATCGGACAGCACAATTCAACCACGAAAACTTGATGTAAGTAACCAATAGACTAGAACATACAATCGGTTTTCGGTTGACAAACCAACATTGGAAGAAGTTTCATTTGAAAATTGTAAAAGTTTGATTGAATGTTAATAATGAATACGATATGTTGCTCATACAGAGTACCGAGGAAGAGGCCGTTTCCAGTTCAAGCGCATCGGTTGAGAAAAAGGCGGAGCCGGCTAACAGGTAACCATCGAAAAAGACCAGGAATCGTTTTGAATAACTATAAGATTTATGTTTTAATTGCCTCGTTTGCAGTGTTTCAAATGGCCCATCCAGCGGTAATGGCCCATCGAGCACTGAGGGTGCATCAAGTTCAGAGCCAAATGAGCGCAATTCTTGTAACAGTCCAGACAGCTCGTCGACAGCCAATAAAACTGCCGGTATACTTCAATTAAAATACTTATTCACCTTCAACATTTGGATGAATGTAATTTCTATCGCAATTATTTTGAATAAAAAAATGTTCTCCGATTTTAGATGATGAGAGCAAGAATCAAAAGGAAACATCATCATCAAGCTCATTGGTAAATAGCTTTGGTTTATATTATATTTATCCTATGATTAAAACTATTTGTTATACCTTAGGATGATTCGGACGAATCAGAACACGATGAAGAAGAGGAGGAAGTGGAAGATGAGGTATGCGCAGTTTTACCATTGGTTTTCCAACAATCGATTTTTTTGGCCATTTTTATAAATTGATCGAATTTAAAAAGAAGTCGGGTGTTGTTTTGCAGGAAGATGAAGCTGACACCGAAGATGATGAAGAGTCCGAGGACCAAGATCATGAGGAATACGAAGAAGATGAGACATTTTTGAACGGCATGTTCGAAGGTATAAAAAGTTCGTCAAACAAATATTCCATTCATTTTGAACAAAGTTGTTAATGTTATTGTTTATTGTTTTTGGATACAGGGCCTGGTTCATCGTCTGGTTGTACAGCCGTTGTTGCATTGTTACATGAAAATGAGCTGTTTGTTGCAAATGCCGGTGATTCGCGTTGTGTTGTTTGTCGCGACGGTAAAGCAATGGACATGTCTTTTGATCACAAGCCCGAAGACACAGAAGAATTGGAGCGAATTCGTAAGGCTGGCGGTCGAGTCACAATGGACGGTCGTGTTAACGGCGGTTTGAATTTGTCACGTGCTATCGGTGATCATGCTTACAAAACGGTATGCCGCATATACTTAATTCAAATGAATGAAAAAAAAAAAAAACAAATGATAATGAACATTCACATTCAATTTTCAGAACAAAGATCTGAAGCCGGAGGAGCAAATGATATCTGCGTTGCCAGATGTCAAACGTGTCAAATTGTCTCCAAAGGATGAATTCATGATTTTGGCATGTGACGGCATCTGGAACTCATTGTCCAGCGATGAAGTGGTCGATTTCGTACGTACACGAATACAAAGGGGTGAAACAAAAATGTCGGCTATCTGCGAGGAGGTAAGTGGATCGAATGGAAATCCATTCTAAGAAATTAAAAATTATTGCCTCCAAATTGATAACACAATTATTCATGAGCGAAATTTATCATAATTCTCAAATAAAAAAAAACAATCTCTGATTATTTTCAGTTGTTCACAACGTGCTTGGCACCAAATACATGTGGTGACGGAACTGGGTGTGATAACATGGTAGGGAATTTCCCATACGATTTTTACTACGAAAAATTCTTTCTGCTGTTCAAAACTCCAAAATATTCTTTTTTTAACATTCTTCTATCCCTTTCCATCTCTCTCTCTCTCTCTCAATTCAGACCGCGGTCATAATTCAATTTCAACCGTTGCTAACGGAACGATTTCAATCGCAAGACATTTGTGCCGATGAAGTGATTACCTCAAAGAAACGACAAGCGTCACCAACCAGCAACAACGATGAACTGACCACAGGCTCATCCAAACGAATTAAGACTGACGATAAGATCGAAGCAGATGAATGAACCCCAGCGCGCCACACATACACACATAAAATATTGATTAAGTGAAAAGAAAACATGGGATAAAAAAAAACCAGAACAAAAACAACAACAACAACATCTAAATAATAAAATAAAATAAACAAATAATACATAAATACATTTCGTATGAAAAAGATGAAACAGAAAAAAAAACCAGAAAAAATTCAAGCAAATGAATGTCACTTATTTGGTAGGGAAATGAAAAAAAAAACAACAACAACAACAGTTTAAAAGCAAATCTAACGAGTGTGAGCACAAAAAAAAATGTTTTAGCTTCAGCACGGACCATTATACATAATATGCAAAGTGCATTGAGATTGAAATGGATTTAAAACACAAAAATCGTCATTTATTTTCAACCAAAACAACAAAATACACAAATTTGAGAGAAAAAAAAAACAACAACCGAGTTAATGTTGCTCTATTGATTTTCGTAGAAATTTTCAATCAGCTCCTGTTGATTCGCTTCGATGCGTTGTAAGTATTGCAGTTGTACTTTTAGCTGTTCCAATTCCATGGTACGCTCCAGAGTTTCATTCTGAAATCCAAGACAGAAACAAAATAAAAATGGAAAAAATGTGTCAGCGAAATTAAGATGTAGAAGAAACTTACTTGAATATCTTGTTGTTCAGCTTCACGTTGTTTGGCCATCGATTTCAGTAGGTTTTGTGCAGCAATTGCATGGCTTTTCTCCTGTTCCACGTCATTGACAATCGTTTCGGCGATAACAATGAATTCATCGATTATTCTCCGAAACTCTTGCAATTCTATCGACAAAAAACTCCCATCAATCAATACATCTTCATATGAAAAAATACGTGTTTGCTCTTACTTTCTGTATATTCTCCGCTTTTGTCTTTTAAATCAGATGTTTCGCTTGCTATATTCGGATCGAGTACGCGTAAATTGTATAGATAATCGAAAAATAAGCCATTTTTCGCCAACTCTTCGGTCATTTTCATGGTTTTATCTTTCTTTTTCTAATATTTCTTCTTCTTTTTTTTTCTTCAAAAATTACCCATCACATAAACAGTATGTTTTGTTCAATGAACGCATAATCCGTTACTAGGACAACAAACGGCGAGTACGTTCCACGATTTTCGCTTCAACGACATTTTACATTTACGGAACGTACTCTGTCCCAGTCGTGTGATAATGTACTAAAGTTGTTTTTCGTTTTTCGTCAGCGGTGTACGTGCATAACAAACAATATGCAGTGTACAATGCCAATTGTCAAAACAGTCTTACTTCACACATTTGATTAATATGGTCGTTGTAATTGTATCGACCGATTGAGAAACGTACCGAATAAGAAGAGACAAAAAATTAACCAGAACGCACGAAAGAAGACACGAGAAAAGAAGAAACAAAAAATAGATGAGCACAAATGTGTGTTCGATTTGTGTGGAGAGCAAGCGAAATAGACAGAAATCGTATCAGAATAATTTCGTTGCGATTCATTTGGAACGGTCGTTGATAAGGCGAAATTGGCGGCGCATAGTGGAACATTGACGACGACGACGACGACGAGATAATTGTGTAAGGAAACATGTAAAATGATGTTTAGACCGGCACGGTTTATATGTCAACTGACAGCAGGTAAATTTTCGATCACGAACCGAAAAAATAAAGTGTTTATTCAGTGGATGGTTTTGTAGACAAAAAAGACCATTTATTGTAATTCGGTGAATCAATCGATTTATTGTTTTATTTGCGCAGTTTATCAACTGACGTTCGCACTTGGCGCAATGGATACTTGAAGCCATGAAAGTGTTATGGTTAATTTCAAGCACATTATCCTCATCTTCTGAGCCCCAATTGATTTTCCTTGAATTGCTTTGACTTCTCTTTTTTTAACAGGACAAACATGTACAGCATCACAACCATTATTGCATCCATTCAAGTATCGTAAGCGAAAGATTTCGCTATTGACCAGACACTACTATCGGATCGATCAGTCAAATCGGAAGTCAGTCGCAATGGCAGCAGCCGCATCGGCCGAGCATCAATCAAACCGAAAGTTTCAGTTCAAAAAAGCCTTAATCGTCACGAAACTCTCACGCTACGAATTTGAACAACACAAAAATCCAAAACTGACCAATTTCCAATTGGAAAAATTACTACGCGATCGTGGCACGGACTATGATTTATGGCTGCACTATCATCACATTCACAAGGATTTCGAGCGAAAGGTGGCCGATAGTTTTAGAGAACATGGTATTGATGTGAAATTAGTGAACAGGTATGTGTAGAATGAATTTTCGTCGAAACTAAAAATAATTGTTTTTGTAAAATTGTGAGCATTAACGATTACTGATGGCATTCGTTTATCACTCCAATTCCGAGTACATCACGTGCACATTCTGTTTGAACGCGTAATCAAACCGAAACAAATCTCATGTATTACCACCATATAAATATATATTTACACGTCAAGTAGTAAATAAGTGCGTCAATGTTATTTGCACAAGGTTGCTGCAACAGCAATATACCACAGGCGATCCTGGTGGCACCGATTGTAATGTGTTGAAAAACACATTGTAACACACAGGATTTTACTATCGATGCCACAAGGTGTCGCTAGTGGTAATGCTCTTGCAGCAACGGTGTGGTTATTTGGCTTTGGGAAAACCATCATCAAATCAAAATATAGTACAATCATTCATCAGATAATGTCAAATTTCGATTGAAAGTTTCGCTTGTTGCCAACGCCAGAGCAAATTTCCGCAGAAATTTCCTAATCTTTTTCAATTACATTGACCTTTTCTCTGCTCAAGTGTTTTTCACTTGTTCCTCGAATCAAACGTAAAATACATACACAATATATAGCATAAATAAAACCAAACGATTTTCAAAAACATGTGAACCAATCCCGTTCGATGCATGCCGCTTGCGCGCACTCAATATTGATAAGTCAAGATGATAAGATTGCGATCCAATTATGAAAACAACATACGGTGACGTTGTCATTTTAAGGCAACCAAATAAATAAATAAACTATTTTTAATCACGGCCATAACTAATAATAAAACGCATTTTTGAGTGCTGCGCATCAAATAAACGCTTGGAGAGACAATAATAACAACAAAGACGAAGCGTAAACAGATTGTTGTTAGATTGGAACATGAGAAATAAAACGTTGTATGGCATTCATTTTGATTTTGTTGATTGTTTTCAGGGTGACGCTATCGACAAAACAAACCGAATGGGCTGATATTGTGGTACCGATCGGTGGCGATGGAACATTTTTGTTGACGGCTAGCCGAGCATGTCCGATATTCTGCAATACTAAACCGATTATCGGATTTAATTCCGATCCAGATCGTTCGGAAGGCCGTTTAATGCTCTCCAAACGATATTCACACGAGCCAAATGAAGCTGTACGGAAATTAATTCAGGTAATTTATTCGAGTGGTCCCATATTTTTTCTTTAAGTTAAATTTTTAGATTCTCAATGCAATACATCTATATATATAAAAATACATTCTCTGGAAATACGAAGATAAATTTAATGATTTTGACTCATTTTTCGTAGGGTGAATTTGAATGGCTCTACCGAACTCGTATTCGAATCACGATGCTTGGTCAAAACGGTAATTTACCCGAATCGTTTGATCTTCAAGAATTGGAGCCCAGAAGAATGGAACTGAATGAATATCCAACGGAAATGCTGAATGAAGCTGACGGGAAAAAGTATCGTGCCAAAGTGAAACGCATCCTTCCGTATTTGGCATTGAATGAAGTGTTCATCGGTGAAACACAATCAGCGCGTGTTTCACATTTACATTTACAAATCGATGATCAAAATATACTCAACAAAACCAAGAGTTCGGGTCTATGCGTTAGTACGGGAACCGGATCATCATCGTGGTTGACAAGGTATTTGAGGCAAAGACATTCGAAACATTGATGTACAATATTTACTAAACGATTGATTCATTTATTCTTTGCAGTATTAATAGACTGTCAAAGGAAAATGTTCGAGAGCTTTTAGACTTGATCAAACAGAATGGCATAAATACACATCTAAACGCCGAAGATATCGCTGATAAATACAATGCACGAATCATGTTCCCACCAGGTATATTGGAATTGATTCAAGTTTCGTTTCAAACTCGTTAGATTGGTTCTGAATTTGAACAAAAAAAATATTCCATTGATTATTTTCAGATGATCCAAGACTGTGCTATGCAATTCGAGAGCAAATTTGCGTTGGCGTTTGGCCGAAACCGAAAGGATTCGAATCAAAGGGATATGCTAAAAATTTACTAATCAAATCTCGATGCATTGATGCAAGTGAGTTTTTTTTGAACATTTGTTTGATTTTAGATTTTATAAACCAAATTACCGTTTAAAAAAAAAACGAAGATTGCGGAGCAAACAAAAACGCTTCTCTGTGCGCACATCTGTAATTTCCATATCAATTCGACAAATAGAAAAAAAAAGAACAGAAAAAATTGAATTTTCGTCAATTTGTCTTCACAGGTTTGGTAATTGATGGCAGCATAGCGTATCCGTTTAATGATGGTGCCAAAGTACTGCTAGAAATCCATCCAGAAGATGCGTTGCAAACAGTTGTCATGACTGACGAACGGTGATACTCCATTGGGGATATAGTGACTATGTGGACACACACACACACACACACAGAGAGAGAGAGAGAGAGAGAGAGCTATTGAACCAAACGAACGAATATATTTTAATTCATTTGAATATTTGATATGAAACAAAAAATAACAACTAGCATTTAAGCACAGACGATGTTATCGATCAGAACAAATTTTGAGGAGGCAACGAATAAAATGGGCGCGTACAAACATTGCTGCGGTCATTTTTCGTTTTGTGCAAAGTGCAAAATCTAAGCAACAATTAGGAATTTTATTTAATATTGTTTTATTATACATCAATAAAATCAAAATTTTACAACGTAATTTTAAATATTCCTAATTCAAAGTTTTTCGTTTTGATTTATTTTTTGCGATCGCTTTTGAATTGGTGCTAAGTTTCAATGGATTTTTCAAATGTTGTGGTTTCTTTTGTGTGTTGTTGGTGGTATCTTTCGATTTTTTCTTCCGTTCAAATTTCTCTCTGTTGATATTGGCAAATCGTTCGTCCACTTGTCCATTGCCGTTTGCCTGTGCCGATGATTCTCGTTCCGCTTTCTTTTTGGCCAAATATTCTTTCTCTGCCTTTTTCCGTTGTTTTTGTTTTCGTTTTTGCTCCGTTTTCCATTTATTCTCCATTTCATCCGGATCTTGGCCATCTTCAATCCATTTCTTACGCCGATAATTCTGGGCACGTTCATCAAAATCTTTGTTGTCCAATTGCATTTCGCACTCACGTCGCGAAACATTGACTTGCATGAAAATCCGTTCGACCATCTTTTGATCGATCGGATGCTCGGTGAGTTTGGTATTGATCGCCGATTCAATATCGGACAAGAATTCTAAATCACGTGGAAAACGAAAGATGGAAATGGCCAAACCACTGCGACCAGCACGTGCTGTTCGTCCTACACGATGAATGTACTCTTTTGCCTGCTTCGGCAAACGATGATTGATTATCAGCTGTACATTCGGGATGTCTAGACCACGACTCGCCACATCGGTTGCAATCAATGTACGCACATGATTCGATTTGAATTTACTCAATGCGGCCACTCGTTCGCGCTGTCGCATAAAACCGTGTAGGCACACATTCTCAATTCCGACCGCATTCAATGTCATCGATAGCAGTTGACAACATCTGGAAATTTGGTTGAATTTTCGAATTTATTCAAAAGTTGGAGGAAATCTCAACGAAATTCTTTTCAAAAATGAAATTCAAGGACTGAATAGAAGAACATTTGACTATTCAACTCACTTTTTGGTATTTGTAAAAATCATAACGTTAGCCGCTTCATTTTCTTCGCGATATTTTCGAAGCGCTTCAATTAAAACCATATCACGATCGTAGTCCGCACATAAAATATACCGTTGATCAAGTGTATTAACAGTAGCCACTTCGGATTGCTCTGCCCATTCAAAAGCCTGAATTTGAAGATGATTGGAAATTATTTTCAAATGTAACCAAACATTTTCAGGTTCAAAAGTGAACTGATGTTCAAATTTAATGATAAAAACTATGAAAAAAGCAAAAAAAAGGTATTTTTACCTGATCTGAAATCGGGAAAATGCTTGATTCCTTTAGAAAATCCTTGAGCGTTGCGGAGAAGAATAGATTTTGCCTTTCTTTCGGCAGGCAATTTTCAATAATGGCAAGATGTTCGTCAAATGCACCGCCCAACATTCGATCTGCCTCATCCACAACAAGGAATTTCAAATTATCAAATGAGAATGTATCACAACCGGTTAGATGATCGGCCAATCGACCGGGCATCGCAACAACAATATGCGGCCGATTCTGTAGCTTTTGACTTTCAATCATCTGATCCGTACCACCGGCTACGACACACACTCGGACACCCATCGTTTGACCCACCACCGAAAACTGCTCGGAGATCTGATACGCAAGCTCATGTGTTGGTGTTAAAATCAAAGCAAAATGATGAGTTGGCTCCTCACTCAGTTTTTGCAAAATCGGCAATGCAAATGCGAATGTCTTTCCCGATCTAATCCAAACGTGGCGAAAGAATAATTCAATCATTGCAATCACAAAAGTTACATGAATTTCATCAAAAGTGAATGAACTTACCCCGTTTTAGCAGCACCAATACAATCCGAACCCGACAAAATTTGTGGAATACAACTCTGTTGAATGGGTGTCGGCTTCTTCAATCCTTAATGGAAATGAAACAAAACACTTTAGTTAGAAACAAATTTCGAGAATATTCGATTTGCAATTTACCCAATTTCGCCGTTTGTCGCACGATCCATGGCACGATTCCAAGCGATTCAAATGTATCTGCCATATTTTTTTTTTCTCTTCGCTCAAATCACTGTTAAAATCAATGAAAAACAAAAACAAAATCCTTCAAATGATCAAAATAAAAGCACAACGTGCATTGTTGTGAATACACACAACACGGAATGCAAAGCACATGCTCATCTGTCAATGTGAACTCATTTCCAAAATTTCAATAGAGTTTGCTGTCAACAACTGTCAAACGTTGTATTCGGTCATTTGATGGTGTGCGAATTAATACAATATCATTTGAACATTTTTCTCTCGTCGTTCAACGAAAAAAATGAGACATTGAAGAAGGCTTCGCTTTTGGAAGAGAGAAAAATTAGAATATTTTGGAACCGAAATTTTTCACCATTTTTCAAGTGAAAACTGAAAAATGAAATATAAAACACACTATTCAAACTTCAAAGAAGTGTTCGTCTCTACGGGGAAAAAATGTTCATGAAGGACTCTTATGTGTGTTGAATGTGTTTGGATGCGCCAAGAAGATGCCGTTATCGTTTGCATGATGGCTGTGCTTGTTGTGTGTGTGTTATTTTTTTTTTTTGCTTTTTTGACAATTCTCAACTATTCGAAATCTATGCCTATTGAGATGTGCCGAATGTACACATTACACATACACACACCAAACGAAATACAGTGCTCTTTCTTTCTGTGTGTGCTACATACGGAGCAGTAATAAGGAGACATGGAATATTAGATGGAAAGCCATACCGTATGCAATCTGTCATAAAAATCGCAATTGCCTGCGTGTGTCCCGTGTGTTTGTCTACATGTGCATGTGTCGTTGTGTATGTGTGTGCCTGAAATAATGGTAATGTACGCGTACGTTTTTCTCTCTCTCTCTCTCTCTCTCTCTCTCTCTCTCTCTCTCTCTCTCTCTCTCTCTCTCTCTTTCTCTTTCTCTGGCTGGCTGGCTGGCTGGCTGTGTGTATCAGAAAATTATATTCATTCCCTTTGCTACACACCGCTGTCGCCTCTGACTCAATACACGAAGCAAACACGACACACACCAGAAAAAATAAATTGAGTGTTTCAGAAATTGCCTTGGATTATCAATTCAACGAATCTGGTCAGTCGATCCAAAAATTAAAATACAGCCGCACGACAAATAAAAAATTCATTTGAATCCATACACAAAAATTTAAATATGGTGTTTTAAAAACAGAACAAAATGTTTGCCAATTTCAGGCAATCGAATCGTTGTTGTTCGGCTGTGTAGCGAAAAAAAAGTTAAAAAAATCGTTTCGAACAAATTTTTTTCTTCCTAAAAAAAAGTGCTCTTGACGCGACGTAGGCAATCGTAGTGCTTCTTCTTGTGTTGTAGTTAATATATGTGTTAAATAACAACAGCAAAAATTATAAAATACATAGAGAGAGAGAAGGGAAAGAAAACACGAAAATTGCAGATCAAAAATTGTCAATCAATTGCTCGGGCCAAACAGAAAAAAATCGAATTTATTCATTTTCATTTGAATTGACCGAAGCAAAAATAAAAACAAAAATAATCGCCATTGACATTTCAATATTAAATATTAACAATAACAACAAATGAAATGAAAGATGACGAAAAATGTCCCAAAGAGAATTAGAATGAATATTTAAATTATTGTGTTTGTTTGTATTGGCTACACGGATTTTTCAATTTCCAATTGAAATATGTGTCTATTCGGTGGTGCAACATCATCACACAATCTATTTTATAATTGAGAAGAAGAAGAAGTACTGTGTGCGCTGAAATTAAGAGAAAGAGTGAGAGAAAATACAACACGTACCGTAATTATATTGGGCTGTTATTTGAAAGCAAAACGTCGTACATTTTACAAATAGAAAGAAATATTTTTTTTTCGCTTCGAATTTCATAAAGGAATTTAAAATAAAAACACAGACACGTACACATACACATCCATAATAATGTCATCGGCGGCATCAGCGGTTGATTTTCAAATTGCAAACACAGCTAATTTGGAGAAAATCGAACGATTCATGAATGCTGGAGCTTATCGAGAAAATATTGAATATAGTTCGAATTTTAATACACGCTTATGTATTGAACGACGTTTACGTTTACCATTTTTCGATCCACAAACGGGTGTCGCACAAAATCATTGTTCGCTATTTATGGCACGACGACAACGAATGCCTGGCTTTCGAAGTGGACAAATATATTCGTATCCAGGTGAGAGAAATTTCATCAATTCGTCGTTTCTTTTTTCTCGTTCGAAAAATCCATCAAATTGATGTATACCCATGATGTATTGGAAACTAATTAACACCTAATTGTTTGTTATTTTGTTATGGTAGCGGCACGATGGCGAAAGCATCGACGTCAATATCTATCGAAAATGTTGCGACCGTTTAGCTCAATTGGTGCGATAACTCCATCGACGGCTCAAACAAATGGTACGCCCGTGGCAACCAGCATCAGCCATCGACGTCTCGATTATGGGAACAATGACACAGAAACGGATTTCAATGGCAGTGCATTTCTCGAAGAGAGCTCATCATTGGGCGGCGCTGGTGATACATCGGATAGTAAGGATAGTCAACATATTAAAGAAGATATTGGTAGGATTTTTTTCGGCTTTTCGAAGAAAAAAAGAATTTGCAAACAAAGCCGAATTTTAATCTTTGTTTATTCATATTTAGTGCGTCCTTATCCGAGCGAATGGTTTTACGATGAATACACAAATGAAATGGACGGTTTGGAAGAGCCCAAATCACCGGTTGACGATGAATACGACTATGATCCACGTTATGGCAATAAAAAACGAAGGAAACGACGACCGGCCACACAAAAACTACAGCGCAGTGTACATACTAATGACACACCACGCAAACGAGCTTCTGGCGGTGCCAGTGGTTCAAGACGTGGCCGTCGCAAAACGGCAACGGGCAAAGGCAGTAGTGCATTGTATGCATCTTATATCTTAATTACCTTTAAATTTCATTTCTTTTTTTTTGTATAATTTTTCATGTATTTTTCTTCATTTTTCATTTGCAGAGAGCCTCCGCCGAGCCCACCATCGTTCGAAACTGCAGCTGCTGCAGCGATTGAACAGAACAATGACGACAGTCTAAACGGTGATTTACGAAGTTATCGCAAATACATGTGAAATGTAATGGGATTTTAGCAAAATGAAGTGGCTATGGCAAATATTGATGGAAAAACCAATTGTTGTACTCATATACACACAAAAACACACACACACACTTATACAAAAGAAAAAAGTTTCACGCAAATGAAATAATGTTGATTTTAACATCGACCACAAATGATATATTATTATTAAAATGCAAAACAAATGAGAGAAGAAAAAAAAAATACAAAACTAATTTCATTAAAATATTTAAGAATCTTGTTTGATAAAAATTATTTCATTACAAAGACGATAGTTTACTAAATGAATAAATAACAAAGGAATTTCATGTATTACTTATTTACATATATATATGTATATGGTTTTACAGTAAAACCATTCATTAAAGATGATCGAAAAAAAAGAACAAAATCAGATCGAAACCATAAAACTTTTTGTAATTTTTTCATTCAATCCATCACTTAGACAGATTTTAATTTGACCGGGTGAAAGAGATACGATTATTTCTTTTTTTCAATTTTTCCAACTTGTTAGACTGAATTCGAGTTGTTTCCATACCAATAGACTGTTTTTTTATTTCGTTAATTTTCTCGTTTAGGTTCGCATTAAAGAATTAAGAATGTGTTTTATTTATATCAATTTATAAAGCTCTTGATGTGTTGCTAGGAGACAAACCTACCTTGAAGCCAATAATAGCTCCTTTTTTATGTTCACGATCAACTTTTCTGATGAAATATGACTTTGAATGCTTTTCGAAGAATGAAAATTCATTTGAACACGATACCAGACGTTCGACCACCTGCTGAACCACCCTTTTTTAGAGAGAAATTTGCTCATTATCGATATGAATACGAGAAAATGGGCGTTTCGTTTATTTTAATGTGCAGTTCAGATTTCAATTCATTTCATGTTCGTATTATATGAGATAGGCTTTTACCAAATGGCACGTATGGTTGGAATGTACTTTCAAATATGCCTTTTTGGTGGAATTCTATGATGAAAACCCATCGATTTACATATCCAAAAAAATTAGCATCATTCTTATTTTAGTCAAAACAGAGACTACTTGATATTTAGAAAAAAGGATTATCCAGGATGTTTTTTAGCTTTTGTATTTTTAGACGGTTCTTCTCAGTACCGTCATGACGTAATGTATCGCTTTATCTTTGGTCATCGTAGTATGATTGAAAATACGGTAATTTTCCTATTTAAAAAAAAGACGCATGTTATTTGTAGAAAGGATCAAGTCTCCTACTGTTCTTATGAATTTATTAAGCTCTTCGTATGTTGCTAGGAGGCAACCCTACACTTATTACCATGAAGCCATCGCTTCTTCTTTTCCTTTGTTCTTTTTTTTCCGACAAACAATGGTTTCGTTTGGAAAAATGGAAAAATATTTGCAGGCACATTCCTTCAATATAACACTGTACGGTGTATATGTGAAGAATGGACAAAGGCAAAAATGGCAGGAAATTCGCATGGATATTCCGTGTAATAATACCTAATTAAGTTCAAACAAAGAATCAATTTATTTTCTTTATTATTTTGATCAAGGAAATTACAAAAAAAAAACGTTGGTCTAATTTTATTTGTAAAAAAAGAAATCTAAGCATACCGTAATAATTCTAATAATGTAAATTATGTTGTGTTTCATTATGGTTAAATTCTATTTTAACAAAAAAAAAGATAGTAATGCCTATGCTAAAATGTAACTGAAATTTCGGAAAGAAGTAAGAGAAAAGTGGGGAAAAAATTAACTTTAATGGATTTGTTTTAATCCATTTACATGTTGAGAGCATAGTATACCGTTTGTTGTACCAAAAAAAGAAGAAATTCGGGTATAAAAAATGGGAATATCTTAGATGATGTATGTTGAACATGGTTTGAAAAAAAAAGACAACGACGAAAATTCGAAATGTGGTTTGTGTGCAGCTCGACTGCAGCAGTGTTGCGAAATGAACAGAAAAAAAAACGCAACAAATGAAAATAGGCCTATATTTTAAATATGTACAGGAACATGTACAAGCAATTGTGCTCGATCGCTGAATACGGCTGAACACATATCACATGAGAACCCATTATTTTCGTCTGTCATTGTGTATGAAACCTCTTTCTCCTGCTTGATATTCAACACGATATTGTCTGGTAAATTGTTTGATAATTGTAAATTGTCGTCGGGCTCATCTTGACTCTCTTGACTCTCTTCGCTTGATAGACCGACGCCAGCATTGAATGCGACCGATGATTTTTTCACCGTTCTAGTGGTGGTTTTTGACGATTTGGTCAGAGCATTTGGCATCGGTTGAACACGATTACTCAGCCGTTTACTTGAACGAGTCGCGAGTGGTTTTGCTTCATCATCCGTTTGCGATTTGTAATCGACACGCACCATTCCACTGACTTTTGCATTCAAATTGTACGATTTGGTTTGCGTTCGAGATACTTGATCACTGCGACTTTCACGTGTGGTTTTAATTGGTGAACCTAAAATCTCTTCCAAATCGCTCACAACATCCGGACTAAAATTCGAACTCTTCTTCGACAGTTCGGCGATTAAATTGTTCTGAAACTTTGAATTTGAACTGATCGCAGCTTGCGATTTAGCCGATCGTGGTGTTCCGTTGGTCAGTGATCGGGATGGCGATGGCGATGGCGATTGCATCATTTCTACTTTCTTTATTGTTTGCGGTTTCGCTCGACTCGATCGCCGTGTTCCACCGTTATCCACGTCAGGCGTCACTTTCTTTATTTCATTTGTTGTTACGATTGTTTTTACTTTGGTTGCCGTTCGTCCGCCCTTTGTTTCGATCAACACTTTCTTTTTGCTGGTATGTATCAACCGGGCCTGACGTTGTGTGGACGACGAATGCAATGGTGATGATGGTGATGCAACTATAAAATACACGGAATTTTTTACTTTGTTTTAAATTTTTGTTTCGATTTTTCCTGTGACTCAAAAGAAGCAATTTTTGTATATTTCAACTCACCATCCAGTGACTGTGCCGCCAATTGTCTTTTTGTGGGTGATTTTCGTCTTGGTGTTGTTTCGAGATAGTCGGCGGTGTAGAGTGGATCGGTTGTGTCATCAACTGATTCATGCTTAACGCGCGTTCCAACACTTTGTATTCGCTGAATTATGGGCTCGTCCACTTCAATATTCTCCATTTCATTGTCATTTCGACTCGATTCATAGTTCACATCCTCTTGGTGCTCATACGATGAACTATTTGTAAATAATCAAAATTCTCAATCATTTTTCAATAAAATCATATTCCAATTTTCTCCGAAGAAGAAAAATAAAATCCAATCGCCTTACCTATAATATGTATCACTTTGTTCGGATACATCTCGTTTGCGAGACGTTCGCTTTGATGTGGATTTTCCGGGAGTCGTATCATTTTTCGATTTACGGAACGATTCCAATTCTTCTGGCTTCAACTTACGTCGCCGTTTGTATTTTCGCGGTCCAACCTAATTGTTTTTTTTTTTATTCAAAAGTTAGGATTTGTCTTTTTGGTTGCTATTTTGAAATGTGAAAGTAATGAAACATACAACTGGCTGTCGGTTTGATACGGTATTCGCATCACTGTGTTCAATCAAATGTTGTATAATTTCCTGTGACGTTTTGAAAAGGTTCCCGCAAACCGTGCAATAGTATGGCATCAGTGAGTCTTCATAGTTTGGATCGGGCTGCGAGTGATGTGAACGAATATGTTCACGCAGTACAACGCGTTGATTAAACGCTCTCGGACATACGGGGCAAGCATATGGTTTTTCACCTGTTAACCGCACACAAAATCATCCGGTTTAGAATAAAAGTGAAAATAAAGGAAATGGGCAATTTTCTCTCTTACCTGTATGGATACGTTCATGTTTGCGCAGAGTGCCACCATCGGCAAATGCCTTCCAACAAAATCGACAGCCATAAGGTCGTTCACCTGAAATATGTTGAATTTTTTTTTGCTCCGTTAATTCTGTTCCACGGTTTTTAATGAAATTTTTATTCCAATAATCATCATAAAGCCACGATAAAGCGCAGTCACATTTTGTGCATTTTATCTAGTCATCAACATAGGATGCACAAAATGAGCAATGAAAATAAATTCAAATTTACCGGTATGTATTCGCATATGAATCTGTTGTGAGCTACGCGATCCAAATGTTTTACCACATTCACGGCATGGAAACTGTCGTCCCGATAAATTTGTATGCGAATGTCGATGGTTCATTAGAGTACGACCATCGGGGAAACTTTCACCGCACACATTACAAGAGACCGATTTATTGCGATGCGATTGCATGTGACGCTTGAGCCGTGCTTTGTTGTAAAATGTTTTGCCACACTTCAAACAGGAATGGTTTTTCTCTTTGGAATGGTCCCAGGCATGTTTCATCAGCGTGCGTTCGTCTTTACAGTGTTTGCCGCACATGCGGCATGTCGTCGATGTAAGCTCCTTTTCATGTGCGGTCGCAATATGTTGTCGAATTTCATTGTCATGTGCGAATGATTCGCCACACAATGTGCACCTAGAATCGCAAAAAAAACACCCCGACCAAATCAATAGTTATTAGTGAAAAACGAATGTAAGTCGTAAATGTGGTGTTAAAACGGTGTAATCGATACCGTTATATCGATACATACTTTTGTACTGAAGCCCTGGTATGAATTTCAGCATGGGCGAGTAGATCCAATGCTTCGGCAAATGTGCTGCCGCACACGTTGCAGCAGTGATTCTCATTGGCACTGTCATTTCGATTCGATTCGTAGTCGTTTTTATGTTCTTTGGCATGTCGTTTGAGTAATTCGGGTCGATGGAACGCCATACCACAAATGTTACAATAGTAATTGCCATATTTTTGATCGAAATCATCATCACTAGCTGTTTTATCACCGTCCGGTTCATACTCCGAACCGCTGCTCTCATCATCGACCTCATGAATTTTCTGGTGCTCTTGTAACGATTCCGCTGACCAGAACAATTCATTGCACGTATCACATTCGATTGCATTGTCGACACCGTGCAGCGATACATGAGCATTTAAGGCTTTTTCTCGGCTAAAACTAACACCACACACTTGACAGACAAATGGTCGGCTCGGATCCGTCACCGGTATTTGATCGGGCAAAATTGTTTCATAGTTGGTGGATGTGTCGGCACTTTCGTTGTATCGTTTCTTTTGTGGTGGTATCTTTTTACCACTTTCAACGGTTCGAATCACTTTTCTTGCTACACTTATATTTGCCTGCGCCGCTCGACGTCGTTGTTTGCCCGGTTCACTCGTGTGCATTACGGTCAATAGCGATTCTTCGTCATCGTCTTGCTCATCGGCACTTTTACCATCATTATGGCCCATGTATTCCAAATTTGAATCCGGCACCTGAGCGTGCACTTTCAAGTGATTCATCAATTCCATTTTTCGTATGTAACGAGCTCCACACAAATTGCAAATATGCGGCTTCACATTCTTATGCGCGACCATGTGATTCATAAGATTGGCCTTTTTGCGGAAGCGACGACTACAAAAATCACACGGATACGGACGTGATGTCGTGTACTCGTCAGTTGGAAGTGGCACCATCACCTCCTCGCTTTGTTCATTTCCCACCAATTGATACACCGGCACCTCAACTCTAAAGATTTGATTTCATCGATTTACATTTTGGTTCGTTTCAACGTTTTCCTCTCAAATTTCATTGATTCATCTTACCTGTCTTCGCCTTGTTGCTGTACCCAATCGTCGGTGATCACCTCCTCGGTGACATGACACTCGAAATACTGTTGTTCATTGTAGTCGGCATTGTCGACCTGATCGACGTGCTCTTCTATTAAATCACCCATATTTGCAACACTGCCATCCTGTGCCATGTAGATCAAATTTTCGGCCGCTATTTGATCCAAACTGTTGGATATGGTGATAATTTCCGTTGACGGTATTATCTCTTCGCCAACCAAATACTCTTCATCCTCTTCGATGTCATTGTTTTCTTCGATTAAATCATCCGAACGGGATTCGCATATTATTTGGTGGCCATGCTCATGTTCCACCCCCTCAGCCCAGGTTATTCCATACTCAGGATCCATTGGGAAGATTTGTGTTTTTTTGTTTTGTTTTGTTTTTTTTTTTTTTTGCTTGAACGTTCAACTATTCAAGGGAAAATGAAAGTAAGAAAATAATCAATCTAATTTATCAATGCTAGTGTCAAAAACGAAATAATTTTTTTTCGTCAAATAAATGCCTGACCACATTTTTGTAAAAGAAGTGAAGAAAATAAACCATTTTTTTTTGAATCATTGAAAATGATCGTTGTTTTCTGATCACATCGCAGCATCATTTTCGATTCCAAACATAATTCTCGGTACTCAAAAGAGAAAACTCACGAAATATGTTTACCATGAATATAAAAAATATCGATTTAGAATAAATCAACAAGCATCTCGGTAGATTTATTATTTTCGGCAGAAAAATATCGTTTCGTTTGACATCGATGCAGTGTACGGGGTAATTCAGTAATCGAGATTTGTTTTTATTTTATATTGAGGTTATGCATTTGTAAACGAAAACATAAACAAACTTGACTTTTTCCCTATGCCAAAGTGAATTGGCCGTTCAATCAGAGGAAACAAACATCAAAACGGTATGTAAATACGCTGTGAATTAAGACGAAAATCCGCATGAAATGTTGCAAACGATGCGGTGATAAAACTATATAAAACTTAACGAATTTTATCCACTCAACAAATAATCTACGATACTTACATTTCTTAATTTTAAATTATAACGTCAATGTGAATGCGTCATTTTTTTTTATTCGATTTTATTTTTGTAATTGCAATTTTATGTGGGGTCTATTTTGTTTTCTTCTTAATTTTTGAAAAACCGAAATAATCCGTATGATAATTTGGTCAAATTAGTAATTTTTTTTTTATTTATACCGCTTATGTATTTGTGGCACTTGGAGTCGTCAAATACACTCACTCACTGTAAATATGATAGATGCGTTCATCGCAAACACAACACACACTGTCTATTTAATTTTGGTGCACCACCAACCGAATGGCAAGAGAAGAGAGAATAAGAAAAACGAATGCGAAAGCCAAACGTCGGTAGAAAAAAAAGAGATTAAGCACCGCTGCTCATATGTATATATATCAAATCGTACAATTTTTTTCTCTTTCCACTGGCTCACGACAGCCCGTTCAATTTGATGGAGAGATATTGAATTTAGACGGCGTTTTGTTTTCACTTCAAACAAAAAAAATTTTGTTGCACAATTTGTGGTTAGGAAACCGTTTTGCTTTTCACTCTTTCGTTAAATTGTTCCACAGAAAAAAATCAATTTTTTTTTTCGTCACATAACCAAAAACTTGCAAGAAACCATTGGCTCTTGAAGACAGGCTTAGCTAATAGGTTAAACGCAGTATGTCGTCGGTGTTGTCAGCCATTTTGAGATATATTTTTTTTCTTTTTGCATGCTGGTCTTGCTATGAATGTGCTCTTCAATATGAACCATTTTGACACATGCCGACAGTCATCGACGCTGGTACACCCAATTTTTTCATTTGGATTTGCAAATTGTAGCGTAAATTCGTTGAAGTTTAGTTTTTTATGTGAATTCTTTGCATAAAATTTCGAATTTAAGGTAGATTATATTTTATTTTGATAGAGAAATTATTTTTATGGATTTTATTTCTATTTGAACAAGCTAAAAGTCACTTTAGTAAGAGATGACGGAAAAATGGCGGGAATTTCGAATATTCTGTCACAATTACATTTGATATTTCATCAAAACGCATATTTTCATTGGATATTCAATGTAGAATATATATTTTTATTGCAATTAATTCACTTTTTCTCACATTAAATACGTTTGAGTGGCCCAATAATTTGTAGATATTTTCCTGTTGTGCACAAGCTGTTAATGTAAATAACGATTCAAGGACATGACAAACCTTGAAGAGATATCGATATAGTTTCCATGAGTAAAAATAGTAAAATATTATTGCAAATTTCAATTGAAGTCTTTTTAATAAAAAAAATTTGTGATTGAAAATCGTCTTTTTGAAGAGAAGAACGAGACAAAACACATAAATTTCCATGAATCAATTCATGCAATGGCATTTGAAGAAAACCAACGCTTGCGCAGCTAACTTCATACAAATGTGCGTGTTGATGAGCGCAATTGGAGCGACAGCCCAGTACAATTTTCCCACAATTTTGACAGATTTGAAACAATCAAAGGCGCTCTCTCGCCTACTGAAACCAGCAATATTGTTTGTTTAGGGTTTTTTTTCTTCTTTTTCTGCTTCTTCACCTATGCATTCGCCACAAACATAACGACAGAAAAAGTTTTATCGATACCAGATTTTTGGTTCGTGTCACCGTAAATTGCATCTTAGCTCGAATTTATTACATTGCCCAACTAATGAACATTGCCCTTTCATTGGAAATTCGTTCAAATTTAATAAATAAATAAACTAAATTGGAATTTAGTTTTGTTTTTCCCTTCGGTTTTGTCCTTTGTATCTCTGTCAAGTTCGAACCACAGCAGTGTAATTGAAAAGCCAGAATTTGTGAGTGATTCGACGGGAAAGGGAGGAAGAAAACAATAGACGATAAACAGTAAGAAATACAAAACCAACTTTTTTCGTTGTTGTTGTTTACGTTTATATTGGGAGTTTTAAGTTTCAATCTCCGGGAATTCGGTACGAAAAAAAAAAACCCAACAAGAGTCAGACCCTTTTTGCAGTATATAATTGCCATTTGCACTCTTTGCTGACTATTGGCAATTTCGTATTACCTTGAAGAATTGGTTGTGATACGTTTAACCGAGACAGAGTGAACAAAAAACCAAGTACACATTGAAGTGTTCTTTTCTTGTCTAGTCGCTCGGTAGCAATCAAATTTGCATTTACGTTCGCAGTATTTACGGTGAACTCAGCGATTGTAGTAGCTATTGCAATTATATCCCAAGCTATCATCGACATACAATTGATTTGTGGAGAAAAAAAAGTATCTCTCCAGTGAATTAAAATCCAAATTAAAGCGCTAATATCTTTTCCTCGAATATTCCAGATGGCTACGGTGGTTGTCCCAAGTAAAAAATCGAACGCTACAACGGGAGCATGTGGAAATTCGGGTCGAAAAAAATCCGGACCAAAATTCGATTTGACCGAAGAGCAAAAAGCGGACATCAAAGAGGCATTTAATCTATTCGATACAGAAGCCACGGGTTTGATTGATACAAAAGAATTGAAAGTGGCCATTCGGGCGCTCGGTTTTGAGCCGAAAAAAGAAGAAATCAAACGAATGATTGCTGAAGTGGACAAAGATGGCACGGGTAAAATATCATTTGCCGATTTTCAACAGCTGATGACCGTTAAAATGGCCGAAAAAGATTCAAACGAAGAAATCCTGAAAGCATTTCGACTGTTTGATGACGATGAAACTGGGAAAATTTCGTTTAAGAATTTAAAACGCGTTGCCAAAGAACTGGGCGAAAATTTAAACGATGAAGAACTGCAAGAGATGATCGAAGAAGCCGATCTCGACGGCGACGGAGAAGTGAACGAAGAAGAATTTCTGCGGGTTATGAAAAAAACTAGTTTGTACTAAAACTTTAAACAAATCAAAATTAATCTAAAGATACAAATGAGGTGGAAAATGAAAAATACAAAAAAAAAATAAATAAATAAATAAAAATAGCTCATCACATACAACAACAACGGATAACAATGAAACAAAAATATAGTCATATTTCTAGAACGTACAAATAACCAACTAAGATTTTTAATGTATAATAAAGTGTTTTGTTCTTTTGTTTCTTGAAACGCACCATCACCACCCCTCCGATATAAATAAATTCCAAATTGAACATACAAAAATAGACAAAGAACAAACGAGCAATGTGCAGCATTTAGTGAAAATAAATTTACTCTTAAGTTTGAATTCGTATTAAGCTATTAAGTTCAGCGCGTAAAATGCGTATCGATGAGTTGGATTCGCGTAAAACGTGATAAATCCGTAGATTTCCGTTTTGTTCATTGCATAGGATCGCTGATGTTACCATTTTTTTTTTAGTTCAATTCCAGTGTTTTTTTTTCTCTGTTTAAGTCGTTGGGTTTTTTTTCCAAATTTTTCCTCCTTAGAAATCGTTAGATTAAAAGTCAAGACATCTATTTTTGATACGATGATCAAATTCGATTTACAAAAAAATGATGAAAACAAAAATACACAGGTAGCCAAACAAATCAATTCTCCGATTTTCAATCCGTACATTTTTATGATATGGCATTTGTAAGAAAAGTGGAGACGAAAAAAGAAGCAACAGAAATTTAAAAATAAAATACGTCGATTAAAATTGACCTTTACAAAAGTGACGGAGTTTTCATTTTTTTTCATTCTTCTTTTTTTGGTTTTCTTGCTAGTTGGATAGTCAGTATCAAATCAATGTTGATGGTATTTTCCGATTTTCCATGGCCAACTGATGGCGAAAAGAATTGTAAGCGGCTTTCCACCTATCAAGTGGAACCTGTGACGGCTTTATCGAAACAACAATTACGTAGGTAAGACTGAACGAGTGCTGTTGTTGCGATACGGTATATCGTTACGACCACTAATTTATGAACTCTATTTTCGTAAATAAAATTAATGAAGTATGCATATACCAGTGTACAATCAGATGCTTGCGGGGAAAAAAACCTTTAATTGCTCGTATGTGTCTTCGTTTCCACTATAATAACGTCGATGCACTCGCTGTAAATAGTAGAAATCTATTGAAATGAATCCAATTTTGATTGGAATTCAATGAACGATTTCATATCAACTTGAAAAAGTGTTTCATCAATTTAAAAGTAATCCGAATACAACGCTTTTAAACCCGAGTGTTCATTTCTCTGATGTTTTCGCGTTTTTTTCTGTATAGAAGGTGAATAAACTTCAAAGAATTCAAAATGCGAGCTATTTAAAGTTCACAGACAGCGAGAGAGATAAACAGCTGGATATGCTACGGTGTTCTTAGTAAGGATTTTTTTGTTGTCAGAAATTGAATTGTTCTCAGCGTTTTTTTCTACAGAAATCGAAATCAACGAGCAGCATGCTGAGTTTACATTATAAGCTCTTGACATTTGTATTGTGTAGGTAGGTATTCATTGGAAAAGTATCAAGCATGCATTGACCTGCAAAAAACTTTACATCGTCTGAATTCATTAGATGCGTGAAAAAAAATTGATACATAAACTGACTAGAAACTTTATCATGGTGTTACATGGGGATTGAAACGGGTAATTTTTCGGGATGGACATCAATCAAAATTGTTTAATTAAAAAACTAAAACTTTCCTCAAGAAATAAAGAAATAAAGACAACGTGAATGAGATCTCAGCCGTTTGGAAGTTATTTCATGGTTTCCAAGCTGAAGACACTTCAGTACAAAATATCTTTTGAGTGCTTGCAGCGGCCCGAACTCTCGTATCATTTTGTATTGAAATTTCGTTAGCTCACAGCTCGTTTTCTTTATCAGAACTATTCGAATTACTATTTCCCAAATCACTTGAGTACATGAAAGGTCATAATCTCCACCAGAATGAGTGACTCACTGAAAATGAGTACATGGCTACTTGTAAAACACTCACCTGTACTCACAAGTTCACTGACGATGTTAATGTGCTCGGCAGTGTCAAGTTGGCATCCAAATAAAAAAGATGCATTTCTTACCTAATACGAGGTGAAGAAAAAATGAAATAAAAATGCATCGACACATCAAATGTTGCATCAATTTATTTATGTAATGAGTCTTAACCATTTATTCAAAACTGTCTGGTACTATTCAAAAAATACAAGCGATTTGGTTTTACATTATGCATAATTTGATTGGTTCAAAGTTCTATAGACCTGTTAGGGCGAAAAAGGTTGTTAGATTTGAATTAAGCTCAGTCCAATTGTCAATAACTCTATCGATGCATCACTCTAATCGACACATAATGAAAGGAAACCGAAATTTCGAAGGAAAAAAATTCAAATCGAATCGAAATTTTCTGTACGAGTGATTAATAAAATATTTTCTGCATGATGACTACAATTTCTTTTATTTATAAGCTAAATATAGAGTTCCGATAGTCGATTCTTCTTATCTTAATTACGTACATGAGTTACCGTTTTCACTTTACAATTTTTCAGAATAAATGAGTTTCAAAATCAACCGCTAATCGCTATATTGGGGCCAATAGTTTTTTTTTTTTTATTCAAACCTTCATTTAAGAAGGACTAACAATCGAATTTTTCGTGTCATTTCGTTGCACATTTTGTTAAATAGTAATTAAATCACAGACCTTCGAAACATTTCCAACGAATTCGTTCGTTTTTCTCGCAAAATTGTACGCTGATTGAAACGGAAGCATGAATATCTCTATGAATCTAAGTTACATTGTTCAAAAAATAAATATTGCTGTCAGATTGAAATGCAGCTTCAGATCGAAAACATTTTTCCGATGGCAATATTTTACAACTGCCACGCAAAAAAACTGAATAAAAAAAATGTGTTGGATTAAATACTTCCAGTATTTAAAGTTGCGGGGGATTTCTGGCGCTTGAACTACGAGAGATTGCGGTTTTTTTTCCACAGTCTGAATTAAGATCGATTTTGTGTTCATGTTCGTAATAATAATAATCATTTTGGATATGTATATTCGTTGTCATTGCCAATTTTTATGAATGCCTGAAAAAAAAACAACGAAAATGAAAAGCGACAGAAGACAAATCGATTCAAGTGAAGCTCATTGTCTGTCTGGAGACCGAAAAAACAAGAGAAAAAAACTATACCGTATCCAAGCACATTCCCAAATAATTGAAATGTGCAACTTTTTTCTGGGCTATTTCTATTTTTCATTCATTTTTGCAAGCATTGGCATAGACAGATTAGGGAGAGAAAAAAACAAAACGATTTCTCTTGTGCTATTTGAAGTGTTTCAATGTTGAGAAGGAGCTAGTCCATAGCTACTCCGCTTGGAGCATTGCCAACACACAAAATGGCCAAGGCAAATAGTCTCATAATCAAATTTGAAAATGAAAAAGAAAAACAAACATTCACATGTCCATATTTCATACAATTCATTTCATTTCATTTGTGTTTATCTTGATGCCATTTGCTTTATGCGGTCGCAGTTAATATCTGCTCAATTTTGAATAGAATCGGAAATATTTTTTTATTTTGAAACAATCAATTTGTCATTACATTTCCGCTCACTTCCTTTGTTCGTTTTTCGTTTTTGTTTGTGTATGTTTTTTGCGTTCACTAGCTTTCAATAAAATTGTTTTAACATTATCAGAGCATTTTGATTGCCAAGCACTTAATATTAAAAACATTTTAACAATCGAAATCAAATTCATTATCCAACAATTTATTTAATTATGATGATCAAATGGAAAAATATACCCTTATCTCACCAAATGGTGTCAATGCGATCGAAATTTTTAATGGTTTTTCTTTGGAATCTTCTTTTTTTTCTATGTTTCTGTTTGGATTTTTCATGGAATTCTTGATTAAAATGTTAGCCAACGTTACTTTTAATCGGATTTACCGTAATTGGAATTGTATACGTTGATTACATATACCTATGTGGTTTATTCATAAAATTGTGGAAGTACAGTTGAAAAGTAGTAGAGTTTATTGAGCCCAGTTGTTGTTGTCGTTTGGTTTTTTTTGTTTGTTTGTTTGTTTGTTTGTTTGTATGTTGTTATTGTGGAAGTCAAAATTGGTTCAAATTCTTAAAAAGGTCATAAATTCAAACAGACTGTGTTTTTTCTCTACTGGAATGAAGGTGAGCCAAATTCTTGACAAGCTCCGATCATTAATTTGACTAAAACTCTTTTTATGAGACGGTTACTCTCTCTCAATCTTCTCTTTCTCTCTTCCTCTAATTATCTCTTTCATAGCATCATAGCTTCGCTCTATATTCCAATTTGCCATTTTTCCATTTATTCAATGAAATAAAATCCGATTCAAGTCTTAATTTAAATGTCATAATCAATTTATGGTCAGAGCATTTCAAGAATATCCATGGCCTTGACGTTCAATGTTCATATTTTCACTAAATTGTCCAAAATGAGTCGAAATGTTGCCGTTGTGAAACGGCAAGGCTTGAAACGCGGTATGAAGCATGGACAACAGAAGAAGAAGAGAAAAAAACGACCCGAAAACAATGTCACAATTTTCGTTGGTTGGTTTGAAAATGGGGAAGGTCAAGACAATATATTTCCCTGTAAATTGGGCGTACAATTATCAAAAAATATGCGTCTTGAATTGATGACACAATGAATCAAGCCAAAAATGCAATTGCGTTTGTTTGGTTTATAATTTCATTAAGATTACTTATGTTAATTAACAACAATTAACAAAAATACACAACCATTTCCGTGTTATTTGCTCAATATATGGAAGAAACTATCCATATCATCTGATCAATGTCAACTGAGAGCGGGCATGTGATATAAATGCCTCTGCCTCATTCGGTTTTACTACACTGAAGGCGATGGAGGGATAAACAAACTTAAGCCTCGTGAATTTTCCAAGCGATTTATCAATATTTTTACAAGAAAAAATGAACAAAATTTTATTTAAATGTTTTTTTTTTTGTTTCATCTGTTTCATTGGAAGCTCACAAGCAATTGGAATCGATTAAAATCTATGGGTGTTTTGTTCTGATGATTTTGTCATTGTCATATCATTTAATTTTGATCGCATTATTGCATGTGTTCAGTTTTCACTTCCATTTTGATCAATATTTGATTTCATGCTTTGATTCGTAACGATCTATCTTATAAAATATGTCTACGTTTATTTTGGTTTTGTTTTATATTTGGACGGGATTTTCATGTATATGTATTTCAAGTTCATCTATTGCCATACTGACTCGATGATTGTGTGTCAGCTGTTCCATGTTTACTTTGTTGTTGTTGTCGTCGTTTAATTCGTCGAACGTAATATTTTGATTGTATTTTGTTCTATTTGTTTCCTATCATTGAATGGTCTAACTAAGTTTTTTTTTTTTTTAATATGCAATCGGAAGCAAATTGGTATTTGAATGAGGAAAATAAGGCGCGTGCAAATTGCGACTATGAACGGTGCAATGTTACTTTTTCGTCTCCTTAAACTAACACTAAAATGCTAATTTTCGTAACAAAACAAAGGCATTGGTTCCATTTTATATTCAACGTAATTTTTTGTTCTGTCGAATCGAATGAATGTTTAAAAGTTGAGCAAAAAAAAACGAATTTGTTTTGACTGGTTTTGCGAATACAGAAGCGCGATTATGTTTTTGAATAAACGGGATGAATGATTATAATTATTTTTGTCGTCTTGAACCCGATGGCTTAGCTGCTATCAGTGTACTGCTGTCCGTAGGTTTAGGTGACCCGGATGAGTGATCCAACATTGGTGGCAGGACATTATGATGGAATTCATTCACAATATTCCCTGAAAAGATAATTTGAACATTTAATCTCGCATTCAAATTTGAATACTTTGTTTCTATGTTTCATGCATTTTTTACGTTTCTATAGAACGACTCGATATGTTTTTTCACGAGTATTTCACATTTATATTGGTAGATTCAAATATATTTGAATTGAAATTGAATTGATATGGGCCAATCTAAATAGAATTGACCACATTGTTTGTGTGAAAATACACGGGCCGCATTTCATTTGCTAATGGAATCGTAATGCAAGCGTTAAACAATTCACCACACTCAATAATTGTGACAAGGTTGGCATGTATTTAAAATTGACTCCATTCTCCCGACGCCAATCGAGGATAATAGAGTCGTATTCAGCTGCCAAAAACCATAACGGAAAAACTTAATTAAGAAAATAAAAACTGAATCCAAAAGTTCAAAAAACATTTCAACATGATATGAATATGGTATATATCCAGGTATACAGAATGTGGTTTTTGAACTTTACTACAAAGGCCACAGTTGCGAATGACATTTATGTCTGAACATTTCGAAACCATCTTTTTCTGGTTTCTCTGATTCCAACGGTGGATTCGCTCTGCATATGTCAATGTTCCAAATCAAATCTGCCTCCAAGACATATTCTAATTTCATTGAGACATGGAAATCTTGACGAGATTCTTTTCCGGCTGAAATAAGTGGTTTCATTTCATTTATTCTAATGCATTGTGAAAATGTGAAAAGAAAATTGGCAACATAAATCTCAAATCTTATTAAGTTTTCTAGGTAAAGCTAAGAATTCTGAGTGCATTTCATGTCATGCATTTTAATGCAAATCGCATTTTCCGGGTAACGTTCTAACAAGCTGAATGATGAGTTTACATCATAAGCTCTTGACATTTGTAGATATTCACGGGAAATGTATGAAACATGCCTCCACCTGTGAGGCACTTCACATTGACTGAAGAGTGCATTGTACACAACATTTTTTTCTATCTACGATAAATATGATGATGAAATGAATATGCTTTTAAATCAGAAAATAACGAATGCGGTTCGAATGCATGCAACCAGCAAATTGTAATTTACCTGGTGGATAGTAGAATGCGACCACGAATATTTTACCGGTTTGTGATGTGGCTTTGCCAATGCCAAAATATTTGGTTTTCAACCAAACCATTTGAGTAAAGTGTCCGGCATTGACATTGGTGTGCAATAGTCCCACATCTTTGAAATAGTTGTATCGCCGTACCGTGCTGTACCAATACGAAGCCACCTCTTGACCTATTATCATTGTTGAAGTTTGGGACAAAATGTTGCGAAATCAAAAAATTAACACATTTTACGGCTTGTGGTATATAAATGAAATAATACCTGTCAAATCCGTAACCAGTGCACTACATGGACAACAAAATAAATTTTGCCCAAGCGTTTTTGCTGGCCGATAGTAGAATTCATTCATTGCTGCTAAATGATTTGCCCACTTTTGCGCTGCATCACATAACTATTGGACAAAAATAGAGGATTAATGAACAGAATGTAGATCAGGGTGGTCCAAACTGATTTATCATGGTAAGGTATATGCTCCCAAAAGCTTAAAATTAAATTGGACTCAAAACTAGCTGATTCCCTTTTTCAGATAAAAAAAAAAATGTTGAAATCTAGTGGTCGATATAGACGTACTTAAAATGGCTGTTTTTAACCTATTTTTCAACATATATATTCATAGAAAACCCATAGGTTATTCAAATCGAATCTGGTGACATGTCATTTTTAGGGTTGAAAAATTAGCTAATGTTGCTTTTTAAAAAAGTTTTATTACAAAAACATGGTTTTTTTAAATCAAATTCAGCCATTTAGCAAAAATACATGGTTTCAAGTGTATTTTTAACACCAAATTTGAACTCAGCGCCTCAAATTACCTTAAGATTAATTATGCTGATGACAAAAATCGAATAATCTCAGAACTAAAATTTTCTAGTAGTGTTCACGTATCGAAAAAAAAATCACATTTTCCACGTATTTTTCCACCAAAATTAAATTTTTGTTCAAAGCAGCCATTTTCATGGTTTTTTAGGCCGCAGAATTCGAATCCACCCAAAAAGAAATAACAAAATTTTAAATGGGAAAAATTGATATTTTTCTATACATTTATACGGATATTTTTGCGTTTTTTCGGTTTTTCTCCAAAAATGACCAAAACCTGTTCAAAATGCCTAATACCATGCCAAACGATTTATCGAACAATGAAAAGATTTTGGAACGATTAGATTTAGAAAGAATGCTTACTACCACACGCGCACTTGTTTCCATTCTCTTTGTCGCTTATTCGCAAAACGAATGTTCACACTTACCAAGGTGTCACATTTAGAAGCTAAGTGTGGAGTCGCGCTTGGGTAGACAGAGTTCTTGCTTGGATATAGAATATAAAAAAATCGGCTCAAATGGAAGTAGAATAGTGGACGAGAAAAAAGCGATAGCTAAAGGGACAGAAGTAGAAGAAATATTCTCTATTCAAATTTGTTGGAAAACTTGGTAAAAACAACTATCTGGGAAGACAGAGAAATGAATAAGACCATACTAGCTTCTATTTGGTAACCAAATATTGGTTCAACACTTTGGATGAACAATATTCATTTGTAATTAAAAGAAGATGTAGCACTGCTTAATAAGCAAACAATACGTTGATGCTAGCGTTGATGAATGGTACAAAATTAAGAAAAATATTTTTACATCAAATGCGAGCAGTAGGTGAAAGCGGTCAAAAAAATCACCAATTTTCAAATTCGTTACGATCAAATAAATTTCAAGTTACCTAAAAATAACAATTCCACCAGAGTCATTCCCAAATGGGATGACCATCAAAATATTTATAAAAAAGTTCAATTCATCATCGGCGTTGGCGCGTGTGGTAGTTGAATGAAATTGATGTGTCTTTTATTCACCAGCAATATGATCTTATCAACAGTAGCAATGACGCTACTCACCATTAGCTGGGGAACACACAACACACATTATTCCGCTTTCATTGCTTTTGAATAAATTAAGAGTGTTTTTAATTGGCTCGTTTTCGTATTGCATTGATTCCATTAGCGCTGCCAATTTCTCTCTTCAATCTGCTCCATTTCAAGTGGATTGCGTCGGGAATGTGTGCTTGTGTGTGGATCTATTCAAATGCTACCATTTCTTTTCACTTTGTTGAATTAGAATCATGAATGCCATATCACATTCAGCTAGCGAAGCATATACCCGACGTAAATGTCACGACAAAATAAATAATACAGATGAATATTCAAATCTTGGCAAATTTGCCGAAATGTCTTCGGGTGGGGCGATTTCAATTCTAGATTTTATGTAGTTTAATGTAGTGTATTTACTTTTTTAATGTAGGAACAATTTTTTTGAGTAATCGGCTATCGAAAAACCGCTCCAAAATGGGGATACTCAAATCTTGGTCGAAAAACGAATTTTCCATGAATCTACCTACGGTTATTTTAGTGGTTGGAATTTAATTGTAGTGACCCAAAAATAAGAATCACAATTATTTTTGAGTCACTACAACAACCGTAGGTGATTCTACAATTATTTTTGGGTCACTACAATAACCGTAGGTGGTTCTACAATTAATTCTGGGTTACTACAATTAATAAAACAGTTTGGCCCAGTTTTGGCGCATTTTTTCTCCCTACAAAAACAAAACACTGCTGTTGTCAAATAAGTTGTTGAAAATATCAAGAATCGGACGACTGATTTGAATTCTACATTTTTTCTACAATTTTATGGACCCTAGAAACAATAGAAAAAAGATTTAGTTTGTGGAATATTCGATTTGGGGCCAAGATTTGAGTATTACCGATTTTGGACCAATTTTCATGACTCGTCCCGATATCGAACGAACGGGCAGACATATTTGAAAACAGACAATTGATTTGAATTCTACAATTTATCTACAATTTTTGTAAAACATTCTCCATTCGAAAAAACATTTGATTCATGGAAAATTCGTTTTTTGACCAAGATTTGAGTGCCCCCATTTTGGAGCGGGTTTTCGATAGCCGATTACTCAAAAAAATTGTTCCTACATAAAAAAAGTAAATACACTACATTAAACTACATAAAATCTACAATTGAAATCGCCCTACCCGAAGACATTTCGGCAAATTTGCCAAGATTTGAATATTCATCTAATAATACTCAATTCAAAGAAATCAGAAATGTGGAGGAAAAAGTGCGCGCACAGCGTACACATATCATCCGATTTGAAAAGAAACATTTCAAAGCAGATCATCAACGGGAAAAAATATCCGAGCAGAAAGAAATGAAAAAACAACAAAAAAAAGCGTAGAAAAAATTTGCTTTCTATATTCGATGCATTTGGATGCCTTCCAGTTTTTCGCTCAGTTGAGATTTTATCTCCATATTTTTGTTGTTGTAGTTGGCTCATTTTTTTGCATTAAACTGAATTTGGTTTGATTCGGCGTCTATTTCGAGGTTTGTCATTGAGGACACACGTTTACACGGGAAATCATCGAACAAAATAACGAGAGCGAAAATGTTTGTTGCCAGACGGATTCGATTCGGGTTTCTATTGATATTGCATCGATATTTACCGGAAACATTTCCATTGCCAACTACCGCCAACCCCAAAAATATATTTTCAATGATTTATTACGGTGCAATGATAATGACAAGATAAAATGTATTACAAGATAACAACGGCACCGCACATAACAGAGTTATTTTCGGTTTCTGTTCTGGTTCTTGGTGTGCGGTGCTCTGTGAAATTGCAACGAACGTCAGCCCGTAGATTGCGTGACCCCAACAGCTTACAGCGCACGAAATAACCGTAACCAATTTCGCTGGCGTTTATTCTATAGTTTCTTTTCTTGGGCTTATTTTACATGGAGTTTTTTTTTCGGCGCGAAAAATTTACACGTGCAACTGCTGAGATTTCCTGCGGTTCCGAAATGTTGTTTGCCGTTCTGTTTGTTTTAGCAACATGAAAATTACCGAAATCGGGCCATTCTTAACCGGATTTCTTCATGCCATAAAGCACTCATAGCACACTTCAGGACCACAAGGTTGCTGCAACAGCAATATACCACCGGCGATCCTGGTGGCACCGATTGTAATGTGTTGAAAAATACATTGTAACACACAGGATTTTACTATCGGTGCCACAAGGTGTCGCTAGTGGTAATGCTCTTGCAGCAACGGTGTGTTCAGGACATTGTGTTTATCGGTAATTATGCGGAATATTGCTGCATTCATGCATATATTAAATACGTGTGTGTGCTGTTGTTAGACTCAATCCATTTGACAGTCCACCAAAAAGCTCGGCACGCGTACCAATATGCACTTGAACCAAATGCCATGCTTTAGCTATTTTCCAATATTTAGATATCTTGTTACGGTATTTTCAGAATTATATTCATCATTCTATCACTCAATAATCCTTTGACATTTTGATCATAATACTGTGCAACTGTTCGATTTTCAAATACGACACAAAGAAAAAAAACAGTTTGATGAACTTTATATATATCACAGCAAATTACAAGCGGATTCGTGTCTCGAATGGTTTTGTTGATTAATTCAAGTCTTTTTTTTTCTTTGCTCGTCGGAGAATCCGAACGCTTCAGTTCATATGTATAATTGAAATTTAAGTAAACAATGCAAAGCAAAGTAAACACCATTCAAGCTTTATGGCTCATAAAAATTGCAAAGGAAAATTTCCTATGTGATACGATCAATTGCTTATTGAATAAACTTGGTTTTTACATCATATTTCTTATCACAAAACATTTCAACAGCGCTTAGTTTCCGCTTTCATTTTCGATTGAATCGCTGAGGATAAATGTGTGAGCTAGTGAAAGCAACATTTACTCTAAGATATTTCCAATGTCCATCGCACGCAAAAGCGATGCTAATTTGAAAATAAATGAAAAAATACACAAAAAGCGGAGAAAATGAAGGATGGCGCAAATAGGAGAGAAATTGGGAAATTCTCAATTTCTCAATCAGAACAAAATAGGACAACAAAACGTTAGTTCAAAACCTTCCAAAAACGATTTACATGTGATTTTTATGTATTTTCCTCAAAATCTGTCAATTTGAACAGTTACCCATGTAAGTTTCTACAAACAACAGAGTAAATCGCCTAGCTTATGTTGCCAATACGCTTGAATCAATTTTCAAGATTTGGAATTTATTCTCAATGCTTCAGTGTACGCTCGTCGGCAACCAATTTGGCAATAATGTTACAATAATCCTTGAACTGTCGACTGCGCTAACAATCGTGTTACATTGTTATGAATAATCGTATGAATTATACGCATAAATGTTGCACCGTTGACAAAAACTCAATTGATATTCCGTACAGTTTTACTCGATATGCTACACTAATCAAATTTTATAATGAAATTCTTGTGCCCTTTTCATCGTGTTCTTTCTCGTTTTTTATGTCGATTTTTCGTCGCCTTAGGAAAAACAAGCGGGGCACATTTTTGGTCATACATAATAGCTTTGAAATATTCACGGCGTAATGCTGCGTGTTTTACATGGTACGTGTTTCGTAAAAATGTGAAGATTTTTCTGCGGAATATTGTTTATAATTTCGACTTGGGGAAAAGGTTTCTTCTCGAAATTGCTCATCTTTATGAGCAAAAAATTGCAATAAAACGAAAAGTAATAAATTTATCCGAAAGAAGAAAAAAAACATAATCGTTCCACAAATGTTCTAAGCCCATAATAACGAATTTGTATACTTGTTTATTATGTGCTGAAATAATTGAAACCATCAAAGGAGAGTGCACCAGCGAAAAAAAACGAAGTGTGACAAAAGCTATCAAATGAATGCAAATTTCAAAGCAAATTCTATGAAAAAAAAACTCTAAACAATGGAAACCAGGCACCGTATTTATGAAAAATAAAGGCAATGTTCGATTAAAGAAAATTGTTCCACCAGTTTTGCATGGCTGTTTTTCTGCTTTATTCATTGAATTCAGAAAAAACTTTTTTTTTCTCTATCAACTCATTGAATTGGTATATTATTCATTGAAGTGACCAATTCAAAATGAGCCATAACCATTAGCAACAAGCCAAAAAGTTTGCTGCAATTAATGATGCGACAAATAATGCTGTGACACTTGCGACGCGAGACGAGAACCAGTGCTGAATCAATTTAACAACGTCACTCAAAAGCACGCACACAAAACCAATTTCTCGGTCGTGCTTTTTTGCTGTGTAGCTGTTTCTCATGCCCGATTAAATTGTAGGAAATCATCATCAAATCCCAAATGGTTTCGAAGTTCCAGCATAGTTTCAAATAATTTTCATTTTCATTTTATTATTACGATTAGACTTAATGGGCAGTAGTGCGTGCGTATATTTTCCCTGTTCTTTTCTTTCCTTTGTATTTGTTTGGGTGTTATGATTGTTATGACTGTGAAAGCGATATGGGAGAGTGAGGGAAAAGTCTACGGAATGTAGTACTTACTTCGGGTGATACGGTGAGTGCTTGGGCTGAATGTCGAGCGCGATATTCGTTGTGCCAACACAGGCAGTCGAGTATAAAGTCCTTATCCTGTACAAAGCTGCTGATCGATTTGGGACTTTCGTCACCGGCAACACTAACACTTCCTTGCTCATTGTATGAATCACGATTGGGAAATGACTGCTGCATTCGCAACGATGATAATAAAAATAAAGAACAATTACCCATTTTAAAATGAAAAGGTCATACACGGAGAAAAGGTGAGAAGTAACAGAGAGAAAGAGAGAGAGAGAGAGACAAAGCGACGAAACAACAGATATGAATTTATTGCAATCACACCGAACTATTTATCGTCGTGTCGACAGTGACGGCGGTGGTGGTAGCAATGAAAAAAAGTACATAGAAAGAATGCACCTAAAAAAAAATGCCAAACACACAGTTGATCGATCAATCCAAACTAACTGGAAATTGTGGAGTGCAGCAACTCTTTTTCGCTCTTTGAGCAGTATTGCAGCCGTCGAAAGGTCGTTATTGATACATTTTAGCGCTTTTTATTTTTATTTATGTGCTAAGAACATAAGTCATTTGGCTTGATCGCCTACGAATATATACATTTTTCTCACATTTTTTTTTTCTTCTCTGGCTATTTAAAGCCAGGAGTTTTTCTTCATACTATATATGCGCGCTGTGTTTACGTGCTACATTGATGAATGGCGAAAAATTAAATTTAATTACAATAATAATAATGTGAATAGTAATCAAATAGCAATTATTCGAATTGAAGAAAACGGAGTTCGCATCACATGGTGCACCAACAATGAAATGGGTTGGCCGAAAACAGAAAACAACAACAAAGTAAACCACGAACCCATAGACCACATCAAACATATGTGCATGATATATTGGTAAACTTACTATTTTCTTTAGCCGTTTCTTCGGTTTTATTTTTTTCTTTCGCAATTGGTCACGGAATTCGTTGTTAACGGGGCATGTTTCTTGTGCTTGCCACCCCTTATTCGTATTCAAATGAGATGGCGAATTCAATAATAATTATTGTGTATGCATATCAAAATAGTTTTTGATACGCGACGCGGGCGCAAAGCGAAAGTTCCTTGGTTGTTGTTGTTTTTGTTGTTGCTTTTTTTGGCACAAAAGAAAAACCCATTGCGACTGACTCAATGGGAATAGATACAATGCAAACAATAGGTCGAATTTCTTTTATTCATTTACAACGAATCTGCTATTAACATCGAATCCACCATATAGAGGCGGAAGATATAACAAATCCAATTACTGATATAGAAATGGCCATAAAAATAAACAACAACAACCACACATCCCATTCGAGTGTATTTTTTTTTCATTTCATTGGGCCAACAATTCGGTTGAAACGGAAACGTCGCTGAGAACCTAGCAACGACGACGATGACGACGACGAATGAAAGGAATTATGAATTTATGAATCTGAAGGAGAAAATCTTGATCAAATTTGTATGCCCATTCCACAACATTGGCTTGCAAAAGGATATTTATTATTATTATGGCAGAGTTTTCTCTGTATTTCTGCTTCTCCGTCTTTTGCATTCGTTCTATTGGATTTATATTGCCGTTTGTAACGAGCACGAAAATGAATGAATGCGTACCGCGAATCATAAATGCATAAATTGATTTAAAGCCATGAGCACTCGTTCGCGACACACAACTCATTGAATTAAAAGTTTCTTTTCTTTATTGTTGTTGTTATTGCTTTCGAATTGGAAATATTTCTCTCTACCCTTGAGTGCGAAACATTGACACGAAAGAAATTGGTGAACGCATAAACGATGAATTTGAAAAATGTATTGCGCGGGACATTATTTGCTATTCAATAGATTATTATGTATCTAGGGTTGGGAGCTTAACCGAACTTCTTAGCGATTCAAATGTATGTTAAGTTGCGTTGCAGAGTGATTGGCTGCAAATTTTCTCTCCATTGTTTCAGTTACACACGACAAAAAATGATGTAATGCAAATGTGTGCATTGGAGAATTTCGGTAAGATATTAACCATATTCCATGGATGGTGATAATTTGTTGACGTCAATTTCACTCTCAGCACGTGGCATTTTAGCACCAACATACATCACAAATCACGACATAACACTGGATAAATATGGTGACAAATGATGCACGTAACACCATTAAACGGAATAAAGAGAGCGAGGGAGAGAGAGAGAGAGAGAACTGAACAAGCTGAGATTCAGCACAAAATGAATTGAGATAGGTCATGTGTGATGTGACAATTTGACGAAAGCATGCATGTCACGACGACAAAATTCATAGCAACGTACGAGCGTATAAGAGAGTCATTTGTCTGCCGTTGTTTTGCTTACACATTCTTGTGAGTGAATATATTAGCTGTTGGGCTGTCACTTTCGTCTCTCGAACCGAAAGAAAAAATTTGGATGCAATCTCTATCTATATCTTTGTGTTTGTGTTCAACGCCATTCAACAATGCGAAAGTTATTGTTTGTCTGAATGTCTTCATTCAATAAACTGTCTGTCATTCAGATTAGTCGACAAGTTGTGCTCGCTCTCTCTCTCTCTCTCTCTCTCTCTCTCTCTCTCTCTCTCTTATCCTCAATTTCGCTGACTAGGTATTTTATATCGGAATAAAATGGTTTCAGTTGTGTTGGATTCGAAACACAGTTCAACAGATCCAATTTATTTTATGTTTTACAGCAACAATTGTGAATAATAGAAAAAAAACCCAGCCAATCTTCCTTTTCTTCAATGTGACGGTGGAAATCAATTAAAACTTCAATACGCACCTTTGACAACAACGGTCGGTTATCTAGTTCATCCGGATTTGATTCTTCGCTTATGGGTCGTCTGCGCTCTAAATCACATGCTGCCACTCGTTTCCGTAGATTTGCCATTACAATTGCCTCTTCGCTGCAAACCAAAAGCAAATTTAAATTTTATTTTCTTCGACAGAGCGAAAAGTTTTTATGTGGATTTCGGGGATGAATACACTTGAAAAGTTGAGATAAAAAGTTTATGGTGACATGTCAGAAAAAGAGAGAGAGAGCGAGAGAATGACTTGGAATCAATTTACCGTCTTCGGCTGGGTATTAGCCGTGTGTTGATGCCAGGGCCAGTAACAATTGGATTGACACTAAATTCAGGCGTTGTGAATTGAAGACGCTTTGAGCCACCTTTGCGCTTTTGGAGAATTGGTGTACTACTCAGAATTGGTGTTGTGGTTGCGGTTGCAGTTGCCGTTGCAGCGGCGATGGCCGGTTTCTTTTGCAGTATATTTAATTCGATCAAGTCATCGGTGCTACACGACGCAACACCCGATGCCATTGCTGATGCTGCCGATGACGATGATGGTGCTGTCGCTTTGACGCCTGAATTCGTATTTATTGCCATTGCTTGTTGAATTTGCTTCTGTTGATTGATTTCGAAATGTTACGCAGCTGTTTGTTTTTCTTTCGTTGTAATAACACTTTCAAACGAACATTTTCCGAAGTTTCTCGTCCTTTTTTCTTTGTTTGATTGGTATTGTTGATGTATGTTACATTTTAAATTTTGTATGCGGCATACCTTCGAGTCTTCAATTTCGCTTTCAAACCATTCGAAACACTTATTTTCGACGACTCTCCGGTTTTATTTTTTCGTTCGTTTTTTTTTTCCTCTTAAAACCTCATATACATAATTTATCTACATTCTAGGCACTGTTTATCAATAAAATGGTGTTTTGCAATATATCTATGTTGAATGTGGAAAACTCTTGGCTCAAATGTGTAATATCATTTGAGTATGTTTACAGAAATAACAACAACAACGACGAATAAAAGAAACCCGAAATAAAACGTGTGTTGGATTCAATTACACTTATAAAACTGTTGTTTGATACTGAGCAAGCGAGAGCGATAGCCAAATGCGAATATATATGATACGATGGAGAGTGCGGCGTGGCGCGGGCGGATGGAGGGAAAATGAAGCGGAATAAATAGGTTAAATGCGGTTTGTTTATGCAGTTATGCGTCAAAAAGCATACGCATTTTCTATGACTACACCACCTCAACCGAGACTCACTATCCAGTTATGTTGATGTAAGAAATAAATACTTTTACATAGCAGTGTTGAAACATCCAAAACTCACTGCAAGCATGACAACTGCCAACATCACTAAGCGGCCGATTTTTATTTACAAGTTTTTTTTCGTGTGTGCCTGTTTTATTTTTCTTCCTCTTTTTACGAGTTTCAAAATTGTTTTCGTTTTCAAAGTTTATTTACATTCCGTTCGACCGAACAAGGTAAAGAAGTGTGTACAAATTTAGTGATGATAAACAACAAAAAAATTGAGATTGATTGGAAGTGAACACACACACGGAGAGAGAAAAAGAAAAGAAACGGTCGTTTGATTTGTTTTTTCCCCTCTCTTTACAGTCTCTATTTAGTGGAAAAGGTAAACCACCGAGCTTGAGATAAACAAATTTGGTTGGCTTTGCAGTGCGGAATTTCACACGATGTTCGAGGACTTAACTTGAGTTGTGAAAGAATACGTGAGAGAGAGAAAGTGTGTGAACAAGAACAAGAACAGTAGTATATGAGTGACTGTACGATTGGGTGGTTCAATTCGAACTGAATGTTATTCGTGCACTCGATTTTGGGCATCGACCGCCCGATGGAAACATCAAATCCAAAAGCACACACAATAATACTACACTCGAAACCAGTTCAACGGAATCGAACACGCTCTATATATACACGCTCGTTGTGTGCTATAAGGCAGACTCTCGTGCTTTGCACTCGAAACGACATGGCATTCACTCTCAGCCTGAGTCCGTATGAGTATGGCTGATTCTTTTTTGTTTCTTCCACTTTTCGCGAATTTAGGTCTTCCGCATTTATTTGTGTTCGTTTCTCGGTTGATTTTTCATATATGCTCTCGCTCGCTCTCTCTATCTGGGAAATACACAGACAAGCATGCTGCTGTTCACACCATTTCCATGTCATGCTCGGAATGTGTATGCTATGTGTGCATGATGTGTATGCTTTCAGTGTGGGGCGCAATGTCGTCGCGAATTTTCGTTCGTTACATTTATTGCAGAACTGCTGCTGTGCCAGTGTTTGAATGTGTAGTCGTTGTGTTTGTTTTTTTCATCTCTCTCACTCATTTTTGCATGGAATGAAATATAAAAGGCGACGCAAATCATTCTGGCACTAGCATCAATTCCATTCTTTCCATCCAAAATATGCATGAGTTCACATACGCGACATCATAACACTATTCAGCCAAATATTCGAATTGGTTCACACGTTATGTATACACAAAATTTCGAGAGAGGAGGAAAATGTGTTCAGAGAGCACACTAGCCCAGCTAATGTATTTGGATCGGTTAGCATACATAACATAGCCAATTGTGTGTTGGTCAATGGAACGCAATAGAACTAACCCTCCCTGAGTCAAGCCTGTGACCCGTTGACATGGAGACCGTATATATTGGGTATGCCAATTGTACAGTAACTGCATGACATTGAATTTCCTGGGCATTGCTATGCCAAAGCATGTTCTGCCCTTCGATTGCTTCCTAGAAGAATCAATATTTAATTCACTTTGAAATTGGATACATATCAACTCAAGGGAATTTTCGTCTGGACCAACACATAAACCGAGCACATCGATTTCATGAGGACATATCAAAAGGCTTTCGTTGGGGTGTGTCGTTTACTCTGCTTCCTTCCAAAGTTCTTCGATCTTTAATGTATTCCAACCATATATATGTATATTCGATTAAATATCACCAGAACTGCACAGCCATGTGACACGACAATCCGTTGTTATCCATCCACGAACACGCGCTCCAATCTCTGCAATGATCAAAGCGTCTCCATGTTAAGTGACACGTGCTCGTCTTTCCCTCATGCCTAGCATGTGTGTTATGTATCGCAAATTGTACATGAAATGGAAAATGAAGGGAAAAAACAACAGATATCGCGAGTTTTCCACTAGCACAAAACGCATTTGTATTTATGAAGACAACATGAGATGAGCCAAACTATTATGTATTCAAGAGATGTTTGTAAAATGTGCGACGTTTCATCTCTGCCGATGGTTGCTGGGTGCACTGCGTGTGCCACGTGTATGTGTATATGTGTATGGGTGTATCCAAGCAGGAACCGTAGCAGACAGATCAGTGTGTTTTGTGGTGACAAAACATTCCGCCTGTATCGGGGTCGATCAGCTGTGCTCTAATCAAAGTACAAATCATGGCCAAATGATTGGAAAGAATTTGCGTCGTGTTATTCGAACGGTTATGTTAATCTGTTATCGAGTCGGTATGGCTCCATTTCTATCCCGTCCCAAGCGACATGCAGAGTAAACAACGCATGTAATAAAAGCCATCAACAATATATATGCAGACATTCCACCATTTTCGTCTGTTCTTTAGTATACTTTGAATCTACAGCCTTTCTCACTCTCCCTCCTTCAGTCTAGTCTTTCTTCTTCGTTGCTCAATATTGTGTATGGTATTTGATGGAAATTACGTTACCTACTTTCAATGCTCTCAATGCAACCATGGATATTCATAAGCCAATATTTTTATTTTGCTTTATTTTAATTGGCCCAACGATGACGTCTAGTGCATGCAATGAAATTCATAAACTCATAAATTTTCGTTGGTTTTGTAAGTATTTATATTTTCGTATGGTTTTTCTTTTGTTTCTTCAATAAAATCCAAGAGCACAGAAAAACCAATCTGTGGCATTTCGTTATTTCTTATTCGAAATTATGAAAATTCATTTACACGCACAACATTCTCACATCTAGAATACATAATATTAAATAAAATTGTGATAATTTTAGCTCTTTCGGTTTAGCAGTGACCATTCTGTACGCAATGCATCATCGGTGGAATACGGCAACTGCATTCGACACAATACTTTTCCGATTTGATTTTGTCGCCGATTCTTAACGCTAAAGTGCCAAAATTGCACATCATTTGTGTATCGTTGAGTGTCACTTGATGCGTACTACTTGAGATTATCTCATCTTTTGGGTCGGGACACTTCCAGTCAATTGGACAGCAATTGGACTTTCCATAGTAGATTGGTATGCAACCGGCCATTAAACGGTCCGCATAATAGATTTCAATGTTACATTTCACCTTTTGACAGTTTGGATTGTTAACAATGGTTGTGTTGCTCCAATGCTCATCACATATGCATGTATGACAGCCGATTCGGTCGGAAAACATTTTTTGCCCTTTAACATATTCCTTGTTCTCTAAATAACATCGTGTACGTGATAATTCAACAATTTTATCTCGATCTATGGAAAGCCGAACAGTGGCATTATCAGAAAGTGGAACATCATAACATTTAGAAATATCGGCGATTGGTCCGCTATAAAACACACTTTTCAACACTTACTGCACTCGTATTTGCCGCAACATCGATCAAATTGACTCTGGTAGATGCACTCCAGCTTTGGACCATTGAATACCTCTGGACACTCGATGCTTGCACATCGAAATTTCATGCCACTGCATTCAGTAGAAATAGATTTTTTTAATTTTTTTTTTTTTTGGAAACTGATTAAAAAAACATCGGAAATATGACATAGAAGGATTATTGGAAAAAAGATTTGAAATGAAAATAAATTCAAGAAGAAAAAACAGAAGTCTTCGTGTTTAAAATAAAAAATGTCAATAAAATTTGCTTTTCATTTTTCCATTGATTCAAAGTGTTCAAACTTTGTCTTGAAGAAAACCAGAACAAAAAATGGCACTCACTCCATTGTCTTGGCACAATAGCAGGCAGCGCTGCATAGTGGCTCCTCAGAATCCGACAATTTCTCGTTGAGATTGTACGAGTTCCCATTTACATGGCATTTTCCGTCGTTTTCTAGTTTCGGGCACTCAAATCTGGCAATGACATCAGTAAACAACAATCACACATCACGCGAATTACATGCGTCAACAACCGACGACAAACGAAAAGATAAGAAAAAAAAGAAGCAATATTGAACAAACAGATTGAAAACAAGTCTAAAGAGGTTCATCCGCAAAAAACCCACAAACAACAACATAATCGCGCAGCGAATGAGCGAAAATGAATGCTGTTGTACGATGTGACGGTGCTGCTGCTGCTTCGTCGCACAAAAACTTAATTCAATCACATACAACAAATTTAAACTCACCTAATTGGGCAACAATTGGTCTCATTGTAAATTGGACGACAACCGAGTTCATAATAATGATTCGGTATTTGCTCGTTACACTTGTGATCATCGCATCCTTGACCATTGACATTAGCTTATGTAGTGACGATCAAATCCAATTCGAACGGTTTGTTCGGGTCGTTGAAAATGTAAACAAAAAGAAATATGTTTTCAGGTTGAATTCTTTTGTTCAGTGTAACCGAGACAAAAAAAAAAAGAACGCCCGAAAATGCCTAACATCGTGATTCCGTTTAAAATTCATTTTGCATGTAAAAAATTCAAAATTTGGAATGGTCGAAATTGTGCGAGAAATACGTTACCATTTAAAAATGTGACACCAAACAACAAGAACATCAGCGTCAGTAGTAATTTAGTCATTTTTTTCTTCGCTATGCTCACCGATTGTGTTTTAAACTATTTTTCAAGTAATTTGTTTGTTTATTTGTGGTGCTGTTTTCTCCACTTCTCCTTCTACTTCTAAGTTTCGCTAGCGAATTGTGTTTATAAAATTGAAAGCAATAAACTGTCACAACTGTGTGACTCCGGGAACTCCAACCGAATCCAATCTGGCTTCCAGTCAACGGTACACTGATTTCAGTCGCAACAATTCGCTTCGGTTTTTATGTCACGAATGCAATTTACAATTGCAATTGAAATGATACACAACAAAATATGTGAAAGAAAACATACGATCGACAATGAAAATCAAATTCAAGAGCTTTTTTTCTCCCGCGAATGTTTACAAATGGAGTGTGGCGTGAGCACACTGAGATGACTATACACAAATCGCTGAATGTGCACTCGCTCGCTCATTTGTATTGTCACACCGACCAAGGAAGCAGACAAAAAGCTCTCTTTCTCTCTCTCTCTCTCTCTCTCTCTCTCTCTCTCTCTCTCTCTCTGTCACTTTTATTCGCTCGCGTGCAAAAATAAGAATGAAGATATTTTGCAAGCAATTACATCACACGCTTGTATTACCTCTTGTCGTATCGCACCAAATCGCTTTGTCTTTTTTTGTTGTTGCCTCACATCACTTATGGAATATTGCTGGTTATACACGTTGCCACAATTGAAATTCATTACAATGAATGAAAGAGTGCGACAGACAATCCAAAATACATAAATTACATTTTTCTTCTGCATTTGAGCTTATTTTCCATTTGAGTACTTCACTCGGGTACTCAGCACCATCGAATTTTGAATGAATCAATTTTGTGTGATAACCTACATTAAAGAGAAGAAGAAAAAGTTGGCAGAAAAAAAAGCAATACTATGGTGTTTCGATGCTGGTGCATTCATTTTAAACCATTATTCATAGCAAACCATGTGTGCACATTCAACGCGTACCTCGAATTCGATCACCGAATCAAATTTACTTGAACTGTATGGTTTTGCTTAACAATAAGCATTTGAAGCGTAAAATTACCTTTGATTTATATCATTTCCTAAATCATGATCTTATCTAGCCTTTGTCTTCACATCGTCGAGAAATATAACCGGGTGAATTAAATCATTCGACTCTTTATGTGTGTGTGTGACTGTGTTTTGCTGTCGATTTATAAGTGAATTTATACGTTGAGATATTGAATCGTCTGCAAGTGACTCGAATTGTGTAAACAAGTGTGCATGTCCCTTGTGTAACGCCAAACCGGCATAGAATAAAAGTTTTCGAATTCTATTTATGCCAATAACATTGGCTTCTTTTGCATTCGAGTGCAGTAACACTGACTAAGGGCACTTTGTGCCTTTTCTCTCTCTCTCTCTCTCTCTCTCTCTCTCTCCCTCTTCATATTTATTACTTCCGATAAGAACAATGTTCCATTTTAAAGTGCATATGAACAACGACCAAAAGCGAACGGCAAACGACTAACAAAACCTATTAGCTAGCTTGGTTTATAAATAACGCCCTGTTAACCAATTTTCCCGTCTCTCTCTCACTCTATGCAGAAAAAAAAACCGACTATGAGTTCAAAGTATCGTTAATTGGATCTTTCCTTCATGCGCAACCTTTGAACCGAATAAAAACAACGACACCGAATGCATATTTTCTACGTTGCATGATATAATTATGCACTTGATGATTTTGGCATGAATTTCCAACACAATTTTATTCCCACGAAGAAACTCGTTATTCTGGACTCGACTCATTTTCGGTTTCATCGAAAACGGCGCCCGAAAAAGTTTTAATCATTTTAATTTTACCTTTGTAGTTGATTTGCGTAAAAACTCGTTTTCCAAACTGAAAAATAATAGTAATAATAATAACGTAAACAAATTAAAGCAGTAAGCTGCTGCACTGTGATGCTATGATTCAATAAATGACCTAATTGGCGTGGTGTTGGATGCTGGGTGTAGAAGGTCGTCAACAGCAACAGCATTTCGGTGAATCACTCTGATTACGGACGAATTCAAATTAAAAACATCAAAATAATTTGCAAACTCATTACTAAATGATTTGCACAGAAAGAGAAGAAGGGAACAAAAGTTCTCAACTTCTTGTCGCGTGCAAATGGGCTAATGAAAACGAGATTATGTCATGACGATCACATTAATCTATCTTTATTGTTATTTTAATCGAAAATCCATTTATTTTTGCCCGCGGATTAAAGACATCGATTGGATTTAATGACATTTTTCGGTTGTAATTGTACGGACGCATTGTGCCATCGGCGGTGTTTGACACGAACATTCCAAGCATGGGTCAGTTGTCTTGATTACATCGCCAATATTCAATGTTTGATTGCCATATTTACAGACGTGCTCTGATTTTATGCCTTTTGCTTCAATCATATCCGTTTCAATTGCTGCTCAAATGATGAAGAGAGAAAGAGACGGAGAGAAAGAACGGGGAAGAGAGATTAAAACACGTTTATATACACAACTGTGTTGAAGCAACGAAAAAAATCTAAAGAGAAATAAACTCGAATAGGAAACAAAATCGAACACTCACGGCATTTGAATTCAAATGGACAGCATAGACCGTCGTTAAAATAAACCGGAATACAGCCTAATTGTAAATAGCTTAACTGATGCAATTCAATGCCACATTGGACGGGATTGCAGCTTGGATTCTGTGAAATGTCCGTTTTATTATCGTATTTTTCGTCGCACAAGCACTTGTAGCACGGTGCATTTGGTGAATAAATCAAATTTCCCTTAACATATTCATGACCATCGCTCCAGCATCGTGGCAATTTCTCGATTATGGCTTTGTCACACAGTAAATTGGTCGAACAACAGCTATCGATGGTAAATTGGTAGACACAATCGAAGCGTGGTGCCGATTTTGCTTCAGGACACTCATCAAATTTACAAGAGAATCCAAATTCATCATCCGACCTGTATACAGTTGGTTGGGTGTAACGATTTTCAAATTGTAATGCCGTTGGATGAGAATTATTTTAATTGAAAAATAAATTCAAGAAATCGATATAAACATTTCATGAATTGCAAGTCTTACCCATCGCATGTACAAGACGAAGTGCATGTTGGTAAACTGTTTGAAATTTCATTGCCAAGGCTGAATTGTTTGCCATCCAAATGACACTTGGTACGATCGAGCACTTTGAAGTCGGGACATTCGTATCTAATTTTGAAACGGAGTTTTTATTTCGTGCTCGGTCAAATTTCAGACAAAAAGCAGGTTGAACCAAATTTGATTTACCGGGATGGGCATGCGTCTTTCGGTTCATCTTTATCTCTGATTGGAGTGCATTTCATTTCCTCATAATGCTTATGACCGGGGCATGTGTGAAAAGCACCTGTATCAAAAATTGCGCTTGATGAATTTGATTGAATAAAAAAAATCGTTTGTTTTTTCATATTCAAAAACTTTTTCTTTGTCTAGTTTATTCTCCAGGCTATGGAAAATAGTGGGAAGAATGTCTTCGTCTAAAAATCAACAAAAATAAAAACGAAAAAAGTTCAAGAAAATGTAAAAGTCTAATCTACCACAAAACGATGCCACTGCACAAACAAAAACCACCAATTTCACGGTAAACATTTTGCAATCGTCAACTTAGTGTGTACTTCGAAGTCGAACGTTTCGCGACTATTTTCACTGAAATGGCTGGCACTCGGTTGTGCCATTAAAAACCATCTTTTTTTTCATTCATTTATATAAATTAAATTTGCGGTCAGCAAGTTCGCAGAAAGGGAAAAGCCACAACTGATTGGATTTGCGGACGCAACGCGCTCCTGCACACACACACACGCACACACAAGCGCGAACGGCCTTGAAAACGAATGAGAAAAACAAGTTGTGTCTAGATTCATATGAAAATAATAACTAGATACAACCGTGATGATAATAATTTCTGAAACATTTTAGATCAGGCCGAAAAGGTTTTGCGTTCGGCTTTGTGTTTAACCAGTTTGATTAGGTGACGCATCGATGCGCGAAACTTGTACGCTTGACCAGGTAAATGGCATTCAACACATCGTTGCTTTTTTTTCTGCTGTGGCCGGTATTCCCCAAAAACGCAACCTGAATTGACGCAACCTGAAAACTAATTCACACCGTTTAACCAACGAACACCGGAAAGAATTCCAATACGAAGCAATTCGATGATGCTAAAAGAAAAACAAACAAACGAAAAACTTTGCACATAGTTTCATGGTGAAATAAAAACACACAACCATCGGTATCGTTTATATATATATATATATATATATATGCATGAACAACAGGTGATAAACATATCTTTATTGTTTAAATTTTTCCTTCTTAAAAGTTTTGGTTTTTTCTTCTTCTTACTTTTCAAATGGCATTCGGTTTTGTGAAATGATTCTGATTTCACCGTTGTCTCTGTGATTTTTATTCAATTGTTATTACGAATATAAACGATAAAAAGAAAATAAACAAACTGACTGAATTTAATAATTGAATTAAATTTAAAAGGTAAACCAACCATGAAACAATTTCTTTTTATTACTAATATTCTAATTAAGATCAAATGAATACGGATTTGGCTACTATGAATGAAAAAAATGTTCTTCTCTTGTTTTTTTCCATTTTTTTTTTGTTGCGTTTTAGCTGCTGCATCCCATTTATTGATTTAAAAATAATATTTCGGAGATTTAATGAAAGAAAAAAACAAATTGTGACAATTTTATGGTTTGGTCAACTCAATTCTACGGTAAAAATTGGAATGTCGATATTTTTGATATGAATTGTTGTTGTTGTTTGTTTTGTTTTTTGGAAACGAAACAGAATTTCTAATATGACACACCATTTGAGTAAGGTATGAGATGGCGAAAGTGAATCCATTCATTTTGTATGTACACGTGTACAGACGGCACAACTGTATGTTCAATATCATTTGATCATTTAAATATGTTATTTTTTACAATTTGCTTCATTTGTTAAAGACATTGAACTTGAATAGTTAACTATCCATTAGTATCGTTCTAATTCAAAGGAATTTTTCTTTATTTTACTTTAAATTTAATAAAATAAATCGCTGGATGTGGTTTTGTTCTTGTGGTTGACCATTTTAGCTACAATATATTAGACTAATTTACAGAAGAAAGTTGTTTCATTTTTTTCAATTAAATTATTTATTGTTCTCTCGTTTTTTTTTTAGTAAATATGTCGGATTTGCCCATTTTGTCTCTATTTGTTTTTCACTTCATAATGTGTTTTTTTCACTTGAAAATATTTCTTGTTTCTACTTATGTGCATTACTTGTAAATGTTCAAAACCAAAGTTTGGTTACCAAACATGTTCACCAGGCCAAACGCGCAATAAAACACAGTACCGAATGTGTGAGCTAATAATTGAGTGATATTGCATGAAATGAAACCAATTCAATGTGAACCTTTTTTGCGATGGGAAATAAATGTGATTAAAACCAAAATATTACCTCTCTTTCTCTCCCTTGCTCTCAAAAAATGATCGAAGACCTTAACATAGTCTAATTCAATTGTTGGAATTGAAATAATGCGTGCATTTCTCGTGAAAAAAATCTTCGTTTTTTTTTCAACATTTAAATCCATATTGTAACAGAAACAAACAAAAAAGAAACTATTTTATTAACACAACAAAATTTGTTTATCCGTTTATTTTCACTATCGATTAAAATACTGTCTTTTTACATAATTATTTTTTTTTCCTTCATTTTTTACAACGTGTATTTGTGTTTTGTTGTTGTTTTTCTTTAGATCATTTACAATGTTCTCATTAAAATTGATTTCCTCACTATTATATGCATCATCATATTAATATGTAACGTTTTGTGTGTTATAACTCAAAAACAATTTGTTCCATTTTTATTCTCGTAATTTGTCAGGTTCTTCGACCTATTTCTTGGCAAATATATAGATTTGTTTTTTCTTTCTCTCTATTTACTTTCGATCTTAACTCAGAAAAAATAAGCAAATAACGACGACGACAACGAAAAAAGAAAAGAAAATAATAATAAGAATGAAACCGGAGGAGAGAAGAAGAACGAAGAAAAAAAAATTACTGTGTACATAAAGGACAAGGGAAAGAAAAAATTTTTTTGTTTGTTTAAACTGTCTCGACAAATTGTAAAGGTTACATAGCGAATAAAATATACAATAAGAATTAAATTAACAAAGAAAGTTCACAAAGTTGTGTGTGTGTGTGTGTGTGTTAGTGTCTCTATCACTTTCTCTTGGCTGCCCTAAATAGAATTGTTCTTGCGTGTATGTGTGTGTGTGTTGATTTCTTTTGGCTGTCAATTGCAATCAAAGTGATGCTAAAAATATATGAAATTACTGGGAGAAAGAAAGATAGATCCTTATAAAGTTTATTACGAACAACACACACATACTTCTTTGTTACTTTTTGTTTTAAATAATGGAATCATTGAACGCATTTAAAACAAGAACCCACACACATTTCTAGCCACATGGAAAGAAAGGAAAAAAACTGATTTGGTTTTGGTGACTCAATATGGGTGCGATATGTACAGAATTAAGAAGAAAACAAAATAACCAGGATGTCAAAATATGTGGCAAAATTACGGACTTAATTGATACGGTTGATTCCAGCCAACACAAATGGATGATGCCAAATATAATGAATCATCTATTTTTTTGTTGTTAAAAATGTGCAGATTTACAGCTCTCGAATCTTTACATCCTTTTGAAACGCAACACAATTGCGACGTCACTGCAATTATTCAATTCTATCGCTGTGTCATACTGCACGCCTTACATATATTTATTGGCTTGTGTATGACACGAAACGAAAATACGTTACACCTACTTCTAAGTAAGGATACATTTGAAACGTTCAATTCATAAAATGAAGCACGAAAAAAATAGACGCAAACCGGGTAACAATCAATTCAAGTCCATTTTATGGATATATATTTTGGAATAACTGACCGAAATCATTGACCGATTCGAATTGAAATTTGAAACGCGGCACATTTGTGCGTGAAACATGTTATAAATAAGTAGAAGTATTTTTGATGACCTTGTTTATTTGAAAATGTGTCGTTTTCCCATCACGTTTCAAAATAAAATCATAATTGGTTTCAAATCGATATCTGTCCGATCGAACAACATATACATATAGGGTTTTTTTCTCTTTAAAAGATTCAAACGTTTCAAATGAATTGGTTTGGAAAATTGTATATTGGTTTTTCTCAGTTTTTTCTTTTCTCTTCACGTTTCAGTGCAACACATTTATCGCCCTTGCCAATTGATTGGAATACATAATATTTATATTGATTGCTGGCTTGGTGAAAGTAAGTAATTGTGGTTTTTGTTGTTGTTGTTCTTTTCTGTGTATGGATTGAAATGTATTGGATACGTTCGGGGGTTTTTGTTTTGTTTTTGTATTATTGCCATTCCATTAGTTAATTTTCGATTCCACCATATCGATGTTTAGTTTGTAGTGAACGTATGGATAGTATTCGGATTGGCCGAATCCAAGACCGGGAATATCGACATTCTGAAAAGAATAGCATCGGAATTAGTTTTTTTTTCTTAATCAAATTTAGACATATTTCGATTATTAACGCCAATTTATTTGGAGATCTTTAAAAAAAAAAACTTAAATAACAATCGAAATTCAAACATGATCTCTTAATTTAATTGCTTGACACTTACATCAGCGTTGTTTGAAGGAGCTGATGCTGAGCCATCCAGATGGCTGTACAGCTGATTGAGCACATCACGCAGTCTTTTGACGCTTTTCTTGTTTGGATGAATCAAAATTGCTTGGAAATTGACGGGTAAGCCGTACCTACATAAAAATAGACAAAAAATGCCGTTAAAATCATTTCCGAATTCTCATTGGTGAGAGTAGAGTAAAATCCACATTTAGTAATGCAATGCACTCACCTGAGAACCGATTCAACGAATACACGAAGTGCTTTGACGTGAATCCAGGCGCAGAATGTTTCGCTGAAATTCACTTTCAACCATCGAACAAGTGGACCCTAAATAAATCAAAATTACACCGAATTAACATTTTCTCTTCAGATTCAGTATAAACAGCGAATTCAATTTTCTTTCCACATATTAAATTATGATTGCTACTTGAAAATGTTCAATTGAATGCATTTATTGCTTGAAAATTCATTGAATAGAGTGGCTTTAGTTGAAAAAACAGGGCGGAGATGGTGAACACTTACGAATTGCTTCTTTTTGTCGGTCACAAGTTTGGTGATTTCACTTTTGCCAGCTGCCAATTCCTCTTCGTTGTAAGTGAAATCGCGAACGACGAATTTCTTTTCGCGAGCATGCAATTTAAATTCCTCAACCACCTACAAAATGCGTGTGTGTGTGTGTGTGTTTAATTAACATTGACAACATTTTAGTGAAACACATTTGTTAATGTCATTTGAAATGAATAAAATTCGAGTGAACTGATAGTGAGTGAGAGAGAAATGGTTGACGCACCTTCTTGAAAAGTGTCACATTGAAGAGTGCGTAGTCAGCATCTTGGGTAATCAATTGAGATGAACGTGGCACAATCATGTCTGTGATCTTCTCATAGTTTGCGGTCCAATCGTTCACATTCGCTCTGTAAGAAACACAAGAGATTAAAAATCGATATAAAAGGTCACAATCACCACAACAAAGAATATTCTAGGGTGGAAGGGCGAATGCTTACTTTGGTACAATAACCAGCAATGTGGTCAAATACTCGGAATCGAGAATGAAGTGTTCCTTTTTCACTAGATCCGCCAAATTACGTGTCAACAAACTTCCACTGTAGCAAAATATATAGAAACATAAATCGGTTAATCTCAGTCACACGCACAAATGAAAAAAAAAGAAGTTTTATCATCATGTGGGAATTCGGTTTTATGTTTGTTCCGTGCGGTTTGGTTTATTTATTCGGAATGGATGTCGTGTGTTCGTAAGATATTGCCGAAAATCGTCAGAAACACTTACGTTTGTTTCTTCTCCAAATTTTGCAGATTCCCCTTGAGGTTATTGTAAGCGGCCGATTTGGTTTTCAAATCAGCATCAATTTGGCCAACTTGTTTGGAAATTATATCAGCAATATTCCGCAACGATTGCTTGATTGGGTATTTCGCCATATCCCATTGGAAACGGGTAATGTACGATGGAAGATCAGCTAAAACGATACAAGCAAAGGAAAACAACGGAAATCGTGCCAAATGCGCCATCGCAACAACGCACCAACACAATCACCGAAAAGAAATCCATTAGTTCCCATATTTTTTTCAAAACAAAAAAAAAAACATTTTCAAAACATAAACGAAAAAAAATGCATTTATATCAACAAATCAAGGTATATCGATGTGATTGTAAATATCAACGATATAACTGCTTGACAACTTTGCTAATTGCTTTCGAATTGTACGTTTTTTATGCGTGTGTTTTTTCTCTGTTTTTCTTTTTCAGTCGCATAATTCGCGATAAAATATGCTAAAACCACTACCTTGCTTGTCTAGGAAATAAAAGGCATTCCTTAAATTGTTCAACATTTCCAATGATGTGTTCAGAGAAAATATCTGGAGAATCTCATTTTTCCCCCCTTCTAAATTTCTAAAAAAACTCACTATTTTCATTATGCTGCTCTACAAAAAACGAAACAAAACTTCAAGCTAAAGAAGGAATGAAAAGTATAAACTAATCAATTTGTAATTGATTGGCCTCAACTAAAATTTGCCCAACGACAATACTCGTGGGCTAGTTAATGAATTTTTGATTCTGGAAAAAACTAGTTTGGAAAATTAAAAAAAAACAATTGTGATTTTTTCAAGACAGATCAAGTTGGGCTTGATAACATGCATCGATTTTTTATTGTATTCTATTTTCATCCTTTTCCAATTGCAGAGATTTTGTAAGGCTTCAATTTGAAATTAGTTGTCTTAAAATGAAAAGAAAACACAAAACAAAAGAATGAAAAAACAAAAAATTGCCATTCAAAATTTAAAAAAAAGCAAATAATGATTGTCGTAAATGTATGTAACGACAGATCATCCATAAGGCAGAAAGATCAAATGAAATCAAGAAGAGAGTAATCAACAACAACAAAAAAGAGAGAAAGTGAAAACAAGAGAAAATAAATTTTCACGGCAAAGAAGCGACGTAAGCAAGCGAACTTGTATTTAATGAACTTTTTACGTGGAATCACATGCAACATGATGATGATGATGATAATGCTCTTTTTGTCATTTAGTGGGCTGGATATATATATAAATATGTATGCGCTAGTCTAGTTTATATCCTTTCAGAGAATGTTGTTTCCATGTTCATTTTGAAATTGTCGTTACGTCGATTCGTATTGTCGAAAGGAGTATGATGATTGATAGAGTAGCATTAAATCTATAGAATTGCATTTACATGATAATGAACGTGATTGGAAGGATAATGATTGAACTAAAATTGAAACAAATACATCGACACGAATGGTATGCTGGATTCGCATTCTTTCCGCATATTTATGCTTCTTCTATTTTTTCCCCTCTATTATATTTTATGTTGGGCTTGACTCAATTTTCATCATGGTGTACGTGTGTTTGGTGTATGTGTTTGTCATTTTGTGTGTATGTGTTGGTGTCTGTTATATTGTGTTGTTCACGTATTGCGAGTTAGATTGGATTTCGTTGCGACTTTTCTGCGTAATCGTGGGAGGCGAATGTTCAAATGTTGATTTCGAGTTTTTATCAGTTATTCGTGTTGTGTTATCAACAACAGAAATTGCACTGGATCACTTTTCAAAATTTTTGTGGGTGCGCGTGTGACGCGCTTTACGTGATTCATTTTCGTAACAAATTTTTGTGTTGGTGTCTTCGTTATGCATTGCAATTTCATTAGTTTCCTTGATATAAAATGCTTAATTAAACAGAAAAATATACCACGAATTTGTATTGTTCACAAATGCAATACAGACATTTTGCAACATAAATGGGCGGATATGGCAAATAAAAGGGAACTGAATGAACAACATGTCATGAAGGATGAATTTAATTTTCGATATTTTATATATGAATACATGGTTTCCGAATCCCTCGACGGATTTTGGTTTTCTTTTCTCTTATGTTACATATATTTCAGACACAAGTCTTCAATTTTATGGGTTTCTGTTAAATGCGTTTAATTTTATAAGCGCGCAAAAACTTAAAACTTTTATGCATCGGTAGTAAAATATGTTTAGCACCACTTCGGAAGATCTGTATATAAGTGATGATTCATCATTTGCTGGGCTGTTTAGCATCTTATGTATATTGCAGTTGGAACTGTCTTTTTTATTTCTCTGTTCGTTTTAACGAATCCATCAAATTTCCGCCACCGAGCGCACACAGTCAGAAAATTATCCATCACCACCGATAAAATATTTTTTTTTTTATTGTTTTGCCTTTCTCTTCGTTGCAATTCGATTATATCGGCTATTTGAATTTTTCCAATTTTTGTTTATTTCGTTTCGCCGCTTATTTGAATGCGGTGCACCGAAAAAAAGCACAAAAACTCAACTGTACCCCACACACACAAGTGCTGTTCGACCATCAAATGACGTGAGACAGAAAAATACAAGAACCCATGATGACACATTTCAATAGTTTTTTTTTTTTGCATATTTAACTAATTTTTGCAGTGCATCCGGAACAAATAAAAACGAACGGAAAAATGTGCTGCAAGAGGAATCTCTGTGTAGCAGGTGAGCAAATTAAATAGATAGGTGAGACTTGAAGGTGATGATGTGCATAGCTGGGTTGTTCCAAATCAAATATGACTTTGCTGCTGGACGATATCAACAACAACAAAGAATGCAGTGCTCTTTCAATGCAACCGAAGAATAAAATCGAAATGAAAAATCAACTAACTAAATGTAGCATTTTTTTTAAACGAAAATACGTCGAAAATCATAAGAAACATAAATGAAGGCAACCAATTCCGTGTCGCATTGTTTAGCCCATGAATCTGTCGTCTGCCGAACGAATCAATTACACTGCCATTTTAATACTCCTAACACAATGAAATCCTTTGATCATCTAATATTTTCTCTTGCATCGATGTAGCATTGAAATAGAGATTTCCAAATAACCCTACCAAAAACAAAAGCAATTTTCTTAATTCAAAGCGAAAAATAAATTTCAAGTCAAACAACAGAATTATTTTTTTGTAATGAAAAGCAATTAGTTTATGCCGATTTCCTGTTTTGCATTTAGAAGATTTTCTCCACGAACTGTTGAATCCTAGCTTAAACTTTTGTTCACCAACAATAAAGAAACGAAAAAAAAAACATACTTAATACAGTTGATGATTTCAACAAACGAGGATAAATGCTGAAAATCAAAAAGTGCACTAGGCGGAACTAACATCGAATTAAACACAAAAGAAAAATCATAATAAAAGGATAAAAGGGATTTGAATTGAACGAAAGAGAGAGAAAGTGAGAGAGAGAGAGAAAAAAATGAACATAAAATTGTGCAACGTAATAAAACAACAGAAATGATAAAAGTGAAAGAAACAAAAATAAGAAACAACAACGAAACTAAACCGCATTTTGAGACAGAGAGATTGAGTATGAACCAAGGCTTTTTAGCGCTAACCTGGGCTCAAAGGCATATGTGGTGGTTCTCCAATTGTTTCGCCATCTAAATCAACTTCAGGACTTGAACGACCCTGACTACTACCGCAACAACTGCTTACAGGCGATGATCGATACGTTGAATTAGTGCCATTATAAAATAATTGACTCGATGATCGACTCCTAATGTTTTCGATTGGTGTAAGTGTGTGCAAGCAAGCGAACAGATTTGGAGTATAATAATGTTCGAGATTATTTTCACGTTTCATTTCAATTTTCTGTCTTTCTTCTTATTATTTTTTGTTGTTGTTCTTGTTGTTGTGTCAGTGCTTGAAGTTAACAATTTGATATATGTTTCTCGACGTTTTGTCTCTGTCTGCTGTTTCTTTGGTATCTCACAATCTCTCGACGGCATTGCGGCCGAAACGCGTTAAATTGCGTATAAAATGTCGTAGAAAGAAAAAAAATAACAGCACCAACAAAATGCGAACACAGCAGATGGGGTGGTCAAAGAATGATCAATAAGCACACGACAGAGCACGAATAAAATGGCAAAATGAAGGAGTGGATTGGAGGTGACCTAAACTTTATTTGTTGTCGTAGGACACACTCACACACACACACACACAAAGAGTGCGTGTCTGGTAGTGGCAAAGCGCGAATGTCATATTATGTGCACCAAAACGCCGAATTGACTGGAGAAATCAGCATGCTCTTTTGCGCTTTGCCAAAGCACATGCTAACTGCTCAAAGTGATTTTTTTCGATTTAGCCCAAAGTGTGTCAAGGGCTTCTTTCAGATTACTCGCAAACATATTAAATGTTAACATATATTTTGAAAAATAATCTGTGTTGTGTATCCAAGTGTTTTACAGTTTTTGTCGCTTTTTTTCTTCTTCTGTTTCTATTATCGGCACGGATTTCGGTCACACACACACCCTAACATTGAGAAGAAAACGATTTTTCGCGACACTTGACATAATTATCGAAGTTTTTCATCAACAAAGTTGAACAAAGTTTCGAGAGCGAAGGCATATTCTACTGCTATTCAACACTCTTTGAATGGTTCAACGCCGTTCTTTGACGAGATTTGTAATGAATGAATGAAGTTGCCACAAGAAAACAAAAATGCGACGACAATTGAAACGAAGAACCCAAATTCGGACGAAATTCCAAAGAGACAAATTATAGAACAAAGGATAACAAATCAAACGGAACATCGACCACGGTTCCGATTTCAAATGAAAAACGGACATTCATTTCGATTGATCAAACGAAGCTGCTGACGACGCTTGATCACATATGAGAGCGGTGTCACATATAAGAGCCATAGAGTGAGAGAAGATGAGATCGAAACATCGGACCTGAGAGCAAACCGACGGAATGAAATTGCAAACACACACACACAGAGAGAGAGAGACAACAAGAAATAGAGAGAGAGAAACAGAGTAAGATTGAGTGTGAGAGAACGGTATTCTACCTGCTTTTTTTTGAACTTCTATTTCTATGAAACCACCAATCGAATACATCATTATCAGCAGTCTGTGTATAAGGTTCATTTGGGCTTTCTGTTTCGCTACCGCCGCCATTACCACCACTATTGTTGCCACCGCTACATGCGCACGAATCACAATCACGTTCCGAACTTAAACTTCCCTGTCGCGAACCGTATTGTTCATGTTTATTATCACTGGCAACCGCATGGTGACCACCATGTATATGATTATTATTATTGTTACTGTGATTTAAATTCGCACTAGAGTGGTTATTATTCAAATTGTGATTGTGTTGACTGTATGCCGTCGTCGTTCCGAGATCCGATGAATGCGATTCCTCCGGTGAATCATAATCGGGCGGACCAGGACCTTTTGTGTGTGTGTTTTTTTTTTGGTTTAAATATCATACGGTATTATATCGATACATTGTAAAATTATCGGCGTATTGAATTTATCAGTGGGAGTGTGATAGTGTGTATTATGTGTTGTTGTTTCGGTTTGTATCGCAAACACAATGTGCGCACACATTTTATCAGCAATTTTTTTTTGGGACAATCTTGCTTATTCTATTTGCTATTTATGCTTCGTATGCAAAACCAACTCCGAGAAAATAAAAGAGATACAAACAAAACATATCCATGACCTAACATTGCGTCTTCGACGCCGACGACGACGACGACGACAATAACATAAAAAGAAATTGTTCTACAGTAAATTTTGTGGTTTCAGAGATTTTAATCCAAACATGTGTTTTAAGATTGCTGAGCATCTCAGCATTTCGTAAGGCACGGATATATCCGAGCATATCGACGACGCATACAGTGGCGTGCGTTGCTACGCGCAGCCGCAACGACTCGACCGGAATGTGTATGTTGTTGCTGCGTGCAGCCACATCAACTGAACACACTTCGGTCGAGTCGTTGCGGCTGCACGTAGCAACACACGCCACTGTATTATACAGTATGCGTCGTCGATATGCTCGGATATATCCGTGCCTTACGAAATGCTGAGATGCTCAGCGATCTTAAAACACATGTTTGTTTTAATCACGTTGACCAGAGCGGAAAAAACCCGTTGCTTTGAAACTGAATTGAAACCGATTCCATTGATACATTGTTGGGGATGAATTGCAAGTTTCATACATCTGAAATCAACTGACCGATGAAAATGTGAATATGGACTATAACGTGGCAAATGACATCAAGAACATGAACATTATGGTGTGAATTAGAGCTCAAAACAAATGCATACGAAACTGTATTTTACTTTTTTAAATCATTTTATACTATACTATTTCTCATCAAGAGAATCAATATATACAGACAGCGTTTGGATTGAGTGTAATTTTGGGATTGTGTGTGTTAGACTGTATGTTAATTACATTCTCTCTTCTTTTTTTTTCAAGGGTTTCGAATTATTGTTTACTCGGTTATTTTTGTGTTATTGAATTGGAAATGTTTGAATAGATTGTTAATCAATCATTCGCAAATGTATTTCTTTTCAACAAATCTAGTGAACGAAGAGAAAATGATGTAAAATATTGTAAAAAAAAATGACAAATGCAACTATCTTAAGTACTCAATGAAGTCTGAATTGAAAGCTACATCAATGTTGTCGTTATTATAACTTTGACTCTTCTACCAGTACTAAACTATACAAGCAAAAACTCATTCAAAATAACAAAACACAAAAATCTAACAAATTCTGATTCCAAGAAGTCATTTCGTTGCAATGAAATATGGTTTTGCAATCAAATCGCATCAAATAAAACTGATTTCATACTAAAAATTCGTTCAAAACTGGTTGAAAAGAGGAAAAATGTGGAAAATATATATATGTTCAGAAGCGCAACAACGCATACACAGTGAGATGGAGCGAGATAAGGAGATGGAGAGAGTCTAGTGCGATCATTGTTGGAGATTTATCACATATTCAATTGAATTGCGGCGAAGAATGTGTGGCGCACACGAGTCAGGGAAATAACAAAATCGCAATTTCAAGCCATTTTATGTGTGTGACGCACATACAAGTGCATGATATCCATCGGCCATGGAATGCATTGCATCAAATCAAATCAAATCATCCATTTCGTATTTTAACACAAACTCAATGACGGCGCAAAAATTAGACTAATTGCTGTGTGAAGTGAATTATGCGCAAACGACTTTATAGTGTGTATGTTTGCCATCTCCGTTGCCGACGTCGCCGCTGCCGACGTCGCCGCTGCCGACGCCGTATGTTATATATAGGCACAATTGCCGATTGGGTAGGCGAGTTAGCCATTTCTTTTTTTGTTATCCTGACCGTAGCGTTCATTCAACAATTTATTGGGCTGTCACAAACATTGAACCCAATTAGAACAAAGCCACAAAATAGAGAGAGAGAGAGAGCGAAGCAAAAAGTGCTCAAGAAAAGCAAACACAAAGAAGGAACGGAAAAAGAGAATTAAACTGGCTGTGTGTGTATGTGTTGTGGCGGGATATACGATCGAGGAGAGCTGCAAGTGAGTTTGATTTGTCTATGTATATGTGATATAAAACGAAACGCGGAAAACTGGGTGCGGAGTATCGAACAAATTCTTTTGAACTTTGCCACAGAAGTGGCAGTGGTAAATGTATATATTTTCTGTGTGCCGTTGTTTTTTTTTCTCTCTTTCCTTCTTTTTTGCTTCTTTTGTTATTATAAAGAGTGAAAAAAAAACCAAATTCATGAAAACACAGTTGGAAAATGTGCGAGCGAATTGAGAAAATAGAAGAAAGTCCATGGAATGGAAAGAAACGAAAAGAGAACGACAAAAAAACGTAGCAAAATGAGTGGTTGAAGCATACACACAGTATGTGCGGTTCGAGTAATATGAATGTGGTCGCACGCTTCAATTACAAAATATAGCAAATTATAAATGTATGTGGAACGATCTAGAGAAATACAAACTAAGGAAAATGGCAAAAGCAACGGGAAGAAGAACAAGAAGAATTAGAAAATAGTGTGTATAGCAATAGAGAGAGAGAGAGAGAGAGAGAGAGAGAGAGAGAGAGAGAGAGAGAGAGAGAGAGAGAGAGAGAGAGAGAGGGGGAGAGAGAGCGAACAAACAGACTAGAAATCTCTTCGTACAGGAGGCCGCTCGCCGTATACACATCACATCGACGACGTCGATAAGCCACAATTACATTAATATCGATACAAAAATATCGATGAAAATGAAAAATCCATAACATTGTTCATAAAAATGGCATGGAATGTCAACGAGAGGCACGCGCGCGTGTGTGTGAGAGAGAGAGAGAGAGAGAGAGAGAAAGAGAGGAAGCGAGAATCAAAAAGAAAATAATATGCGAAAAAAGAGCAATGAAAACTTGGTGTAATTCGAGACAAACGAAAAAAGAAGCGAGCGAGATAGCGAGAGAAACGAAGTGAAGAGCACTTGGAGTTTCAAAACAGCTCATCCACCAACACCGGACAAACGCTTGAGCATTCACACGGACAAAAATTATCAATACACCAAAATACTGAACGCATTCGAAAATTGAATGAAGTGCACACAAGAACATGTGTCGATTCGACAACGAATAAAAAACCGAATCGAAGAAGTAGAAGAAGAAGAAGGGGGGAAAAACAACAAAACACATTTCAACCAACATGGATTCTTGGTCATTTATTTTGGTGGAGTCGAGACGTCGCGTCATTTGGCGTATTATTTCCATGCGAGGTACACATTACACATACAACACACATATTCAGTCGCTGTTTTTCGCTTACACTCGCCATTACTCCATTTGAATGCGACAAAGTGGACGTGAACTTACACATTTACCCATTTAATTTTATTTCATTTTTTCTTCTTTCGCTTTGCTCTCTCCACCATGACAGCGAACCACACAAACGGACAAAGCATGGCGAACAAAAAAGAGAAACAGCTACTCACTGCGATGGGCAAAAAAATGACTTTTCGAAGGGACTAGACAGATAGAGAGAAAAAGAAAGAGAGAGCGCGAGAGTGCTGAGTGACGAATGAAATTGAAAATCCTGAAAGCAGCATGGAAACGCGCCATCCAATGTCACGTCGTGAAAACATCCAATAAAAATAATCTTCAAAATGCCGATGCGATTAATACTAAATGAACGTCTTCTCCCATCAAATTCGCACACTGTGTGTATGTGGAATGGTAGATTTACTAAATTTCAAAATGTGCAGATTATATTTCGTTTAAATGTAACGATGTAATGGTTAAACGGACGATGAAAATCCATCTCTCGCTCTTTCTCACTTCCTTCTATTTCTCTGTGAACAACGCACACATATGCGACAAAATCGGCATAAAATGCTCAATACAATATTGGTGTCTTTTCATCCTCTTTATTTTTCGCATATTCTTTCTACTTAAGTGAAACACATCTAACGATCCGCTGCTCTGTTCACCTCCTCCGCACCGTTTCTTCCTTTATCTCTTGATTTCGGTTCGTTTACACATTCCATTTATTATTACGCAGCCGAAGAAAAACGAATCTCTGCATAACAAAGGACACTTTCGCTTTTTTATTATGTGCTATTTTCTTGCTCTACATAAAACCTCCATGATATTATGACTGACGTTTGAGCAGTTTTTCGGCTTTTTTACATACATATATACGCGGATTTTTATTGGAAAGAAGGACGCGCGCGCGTGTTCAATGTAAACACATTGCCAAAGTTACTGTTTTGCTTGTTTGATAAATGAGACTATAGACACAAAGAGAAGGGAAACAATATTGAACGTGACAAATCAGAAAAAAAAATCCACACATATATATATATATATATATATACAGTGTGATGTGTGTATAATTTTGCGCTTTTTCAATGCGATCGAGTTAAAAAGTAAAGGAGAAGAAGAAGGATAAGAAGAATAAGAAGAAAACAACCGAATCTCAAGGCCGTCAAAAAGCTCGTTTGGTTTATGCGGCGCGTGTGGAAAGGCACGACACATTCTCCCTTCTGGCTCTCTTTCGCTTCATCAAACTCTTTCTCCTCCGTGATATTAATTATTAATTCCATTTATTTTAATTTTATTTAACATTTGAATAATGGCTTGTGTGTACATTGACATGCAACAGCAGCAATCGGGCTGTGTGCTTCAATTTTTTTTTCCTTTTCAAGGATCTCAGAATCTATTTCGATTCAATTTGATCGATGAGCATGTGACACATTTGTGCGATGATCATCATAAACGATGACAATGGAGATTCGGAATAAGACCGAAGCGCTATCATGGGAATCGAATCGTCTGGTCAAAATCTCGGTCATTTCGGGTGAATGTGACCCTTTAAATCGAAAATTAGGTGAATTGCATAAACCATACTCTTTTTTTTCTTCTGCGGTATCGAATAGACGACGC